TCTAAGTTATAAGATATAGGGTCTAGTCACTCAACAAAGGCAAAACATTCACAATCACATCATGATTAATTGAATTATCAGACAGTAAACTTATCACAGGATACCTCCCTGTAATCTGTTCTTATTGTCATTTGTTATTTTGTTCAGGATGTTCCAGATGTAGTATATAATAACAAAGTCAGATTTAGAGCCTTGTCTTTCTTGAATTGTCTTGTCACAAATGTCGAATCACTTCACAAAGACACAACCACAGCTTCATTTGCTTGTGCGATGTCGCATGCACGGCGATGGGAGCTGGAACCGATAATGGATCAGGCCTCGATCAGTCCTGTTGTCTATGCGATGATGAAGCGTTGGATCGGTGATCTGGTCCAAAATATAGATAGGTCCAGGCCTAGACTCTAGACGATTACAAAGTCCAAGGCGATGCTTTTACTTTAGTACTTGTAGATTCACGCCGACGTCGATCTAAGAGCTGGAACCGATAATGGATCAGGCCGACGTCGATCTAAGGTAGTTGTTGCTAGCTGCTGCTGAGATTATTTTGACTTTGAGTTTGATGAAAGCAGGTCGCCTCCTCGTCCGCGTTGATCACGGATAAGAAAACCGATGGGCGCTGTTCCAATCACTGTCGTTACATCTCCTCTCTCGGTCTGTTGTGTGTAGCGATCAGTGCTACACAACGTCCTCGTCCGCGTTGATCACGGATAAGAAAACCGATGGACGCTGTTCCAATCACTGCCGTTACATCTCCTCTCTCGGTCTGTTGTGTGTAGCGATCAGTGCTACATGCACATTATGCGAGGAAGACAGTTCCCAGTGCTATTCGGCATTAGCGGAGGCTCGGTGGCTCGTACCCGGGTAATGCAGACGATAGGTTGCGCAGTGGGGTGCAGTGCGGGAACATCGATGTTGGCAATAATCGTCGACGACCAAACTTCTACTTAGCAGCTAGTTCTCATTTCTTAGTCCAAGTCGAGGAAAACTGCGGTAGCTAATGTCCGATTATCGAATAATAGCATGGTATTCTCCTTACCGCTGCCACCATGTTGTAATATGTTATATGACTCGGTGAAATGATAGAGTCTGGCAGACGATGTAGTTACTGATTAGTAGCCATATTGTAAGACCATTTATTTATGTATCCTTCCGCCTAGCTCGGCGTGGTATTTACATATCATATCTCATGTTAATGTAGTTCCAAGTGGACATACAACAGGTACAACGAATAGTCTTCTTTCTCTAATAATTTAATGAAACGTCAAAGCTTCCGCGCTTCGCGCTGGAGGGGGGGGGGGAAACTCAATTCAGACAAGGATTAAGAGTCGAGAACGGTACTCTTTCTCTAATGATTTAATGAAACGTCAAAGCTTCCGCGCTACGCGGGGGGGGGGTATGGAAACTGAATTCAGACAATGATTAAGAATCGAGAACGGTACAACAAATCCGTCTTCTTTCTCTAATAATTTAATGAAACGTTAAGCTTCTGCGCTTTGCGCTGGAGGGGGGAATCTGAATTCAGAGAAAGATTGAGGGTCGAGAATGGAACAACGAATTATCTTCTTTCTCTAATAATTTCATTAAACTATGAAAGGTCAATGCTTCGCGCGGGAGGGGGAAAACTGAATTCAGACAAAAGGAAAGGAGTCGAGAATGGTACAACAAATCGTCTTCTTTCTCTAATAATTTATATCAATTAATGAAAGGTCAAAACTTCCGCGCTTCGCGCGTAATGGGGGGGGGGGGGGAGGGGGAGGGGAACAGCGAGCTGCCCGAATATGAATTTGTTATATCTTTTCTCGTATATTTTGCTAATAAATAACACTTTCACAAAATACATATTATCCTCAAATTTTTGCTCGCTCGCTTCGCTCACTAGCCAAATTGTGAAACTAGAAAATTACTTTTCGGGCGAGAGGCTTCAGCCCCCCCCCCCCCCCCCCCCCGATGAAAATGTCAAAAAAATTACATATGGTGCTTCTAATATGACATTGTCAGTTTTGGTATGTTGAGTTGAAAAACTGTCTGCGCAATTTTCAAATTTCCGGCCCCCCCCCCCCCCCCCTATTGGAAAATCCTGGATCCGCGCCTGAATGGTAATCAGCTTGAAGTGGTATCTTATATGAAATTACTTGGTATAACAATCCAAGATAATCTTAAATGGGATCTACACATCAAAACCATCGTCAAAAACGCATCACGAAAACTATATGTACTGAGCAAACTTAAAAGGAACGGTGTCAACACTCGGGACTTGGTATTGATATACATGATGTACATTCGTCCGTGTCTTGAATTTGGTGTACCTGTTTGGTCATCTAGTTTAACTGTTGTCCAAGTAAACAGCATTGAGCGACTGCAGAGGAGAGCATTGGGTATCATCACTGGTACATTTCCCGACACCATGTCTTATGCTCAACTTCTGCAGTCGCTGAGTGTTGTCAGACTGTCTGAACGACGCTCTGTTCTTTGCGAAAAGTTTGCTAAATCCCTAATGATCTCAGACCGCCACCGCCATCTCTTACCTGAAACTAGACAAACTATCTCACAACGCACTCTCCGCAACTCTCTCCAGCTCAATACCCCCAAAATGAGAACAGAGCGTTACAGACAGTCTCCCATTCCCCACTTCACACGAATCCTGAATTCAAATCTGTAGATATTTTCACTCAATATAATGACTATATGTGACCAAGATGTAATTTATTAATTTATTGTCATGCCATTTAATGGGATTAAATAATATTTCATAGTACCTGTATAATGATAGGACTATACTCTGTAAGTAAACATAAATTGTATATTTTGTATTATCATATCTCTCGGAAAATCATCTACCGGTATATAAAAATATATTTCTAAAAGAAATGTCAACTAGGTTAAAAAAGACTACTTATTAATTTGAAAGTGTATTACTTAATTGCATATGACATTTAGAAAAGGGTAACAACATATTTTACTATTTAAATATTACAACTGCATAATTAGAACATGTATTATTTCAAGATTGTTTGAAATTAGTCGTTAGTTCATTAGAATCAGTAATTAATATAAAAAAGATTGCTAAAAGTATTGATTTCTTTATTCTTGTATGTATTTATAATTTGTAAACTGAATTGTATGAGTCTCCGGACTTTTTATTCAGTATGTTTTTATTTACAATAAAACCAGAATTGAATTGAATTGAATATCTTTTTAATTGCAGATTTTTACAAACTGCACATTCGAAGGTAGATAGAGTACGATGTTTTTGTCAATCTTGCGTTGGTTTGAGCCCCATAGCTAGAGCCATCTCAAATTGAGAAGGAAAATTGTGAACAGAGACCTCATTGTTTCAGCCCCAAATAGAAGTCTTGCGACATCATAATATGAATATTTATGAGCTCCGGTCTCATCGCGCGCAAAACAAATTTGACGTAGTCTCACACATAGTACCTTTTTCTCAGCACTAGACACCAGTGTCGTGCAGTAACGTATGGGAAGTGTAAAAAAAGACATTTCAGTAAATAAAAAAAAGTCTACGTGAGCAGTCTATACTCCAATTGAGAAGTGTAATGAATGCTATGATTTGAGCGTGTGTGTTTTAGTGTATGATATCATCATATGGTTAGTGAGTTGAGAGAGAGAGAGAGAGAGAGGGAGAGAAAATCTCCGTAAGTAGTACACGTCTTTCAATGCGTGCAGTCATGTTTGATTCCGTATTGTGATCGCTGCAAGTGCAAGCTGGATTTATCGATTGATGATAATGCAGTGTCAGATCTTTACTCATGAGGAAATAGTAATTGGAATACATCGCAAAACTAAGGTAGGCCTATTTATTTATTTCAATTACTTTCTTAATTTACAATGAGTGGCTTTCGAGCTTTCTCTCCATTATGTTCCATGCCATAGCTAGCATGGCTCGATCGCGGCGTGCATGCAATTACCGTACCTGGCCTGCAGTACTGTGTCGGTGTGTGCGACTAATTCAAGGCTAGCCGGTGATGCGCATGAATGTACTTTCGCGCGAAGTTTTGAACTTGTTGTCCGGGCAATGACCATGATGACACGCCCATTCCCTCGGGCCTGTCTAATTCTCAACGTAATTGAAATTGATTGTTTCAAGCGGTTTCAAGGCTCTTACGTACGGCCAGGCGTAGAAGGAACCTCACAGCCCGGCCCCCCCACTCAGAGGTCGGAATGACCGCATGCGTGTTGCCAAAATGTCCGGTAAAGGGGTACTTTTCGTGCGACAAAGTCCGGCCCGAGATTTGTGAAAAAAGGGGTGTATTTGACTTTTCACCCGGAGATTTCTTTAAAAAGGGGGTGTTTTTCTTTTTCTCTCTTATCTCTTTGGACTCCTGAGAAATTATTCCGAATTTAGGGGGGTACATTGAGCATTTTTCCTGATTTAGGGGGGTCTCCAAGGCAGGAAAAGCCCGCGAAAAGCCCGCGAAAAGCCCGCGAAAGGGGGGTTCGGAAATGTTGGCAGTCCTCAGATAGGGGGTGCTTTCAAAAAGAGGGTACGAGCATATGCGTACCCTAAATAACACTGAGTGGGGGGGCCGGGCCTCACAGGAACTAGCTGGATATCTCCTATTTTATGGAACTTCTGGAGTCGGCAGATGGGTGAGTTTTCTTAGTGAAAGAAAATGCTTTCTTTTAATGTTTGTTTATTATAAAAAAATTAGTAATTAAAAAGTTAGATTTGGGCATTGGCCTCCCTAATAAATCAATTCAATTTTTGGAAGCTAATATATTACAAAGTATCTTGTTGAAATTTGTGTTTAAAGGAAATAGTCTAGTCAAACAGGTGATATTAAGAATCAAAATGATGACTGTATATCACTGGATTAACCAAATAGAAGAACTACAACGAGTATACCCAGACATTTTCCCACCAGCAACGCACATATAGGTCTAGTGGTCAATGTAAGTTAATGCATAATAATTGACTGCCCCCATCATACAACACAATAACAAGGGCAAGGCCAAGGATAGGATATTTGAAATAGACTAACCTTGTTTCAGTCTGGTCACGTTTACAAAGACAGCATCATGTCGTCGACTAGACAGAAATAACCATCTAGTGGGTCATTCTTATAAAAACTGACATTGTTCAACCTTCCCCATAGGCATGGGCCATACTAGAAGCGATCAGAGCTAGGAAGGACTAGGAGCTAGGAGCCAGATGTAATCTCAGCGGAAAACCCTCGATGATCCAAAACTGAAGCTTTTGGTCTCTTTTTCTCTTCTTTGGTGCAGTCTTCTTCGGACTAGTCGTCGACAGCCTTAAATCCAAATCTGTAACAGAAGAAAGATCTTAAAATTCAGTAAGATCAATCACTGAATCTAACTCGGAAACGAGGTGACGTGGCAGTGCGTGCACATTTCTAGCAGAGAAATGGCGACTATTGACAATTGAATTGGGTGGGTCGAAACTGAGCGAAGGAAAGGGGGAATCCCCAGTTGCGCGCGTAATAGTCTGATTTTCAGGCCGTTTTACCAAATGGTCGTAACTTTTGTGCTGCACAAAGATTCAATCAGTTTAATTATGGCCATTACAAGTACAGTGTTATTGATGTAGACAATTTGTATGTACCTGTTACAGCTCATTTTATGTACATTATTACCAAAGAAAAATATGTTAGTCATTCACTGTATAGTGTCTGACAGTGAAGTCTAGAAGGTAAACGGGTTTCCTTGCATAATTTGAATACTCGGACCATGGATCTACTGCTCGGACACTGCTAATTTATTTAAATTTCACAGATAGAACATACATGACATATTCATAATTCCTGCAAAGTTCTACAGAATTTGATGTTGGCTAAAGGGACATAGTATCTTTAAGAGAAAAAGACCGATTTAAAAAAAAAAAAAAACATTTAATGATATGGGATGGGCAGTGCACATTTTAAAGGGATCCGAACTTAATTTGTCTCAGATTTAACATTTGTCTTTAATACAATAGATATGATCGCTCAAGACGGCTATTTTGAAGGTTCTAAATTGCTTTAACTCGAGAGCGACCCGCCCGCTCCTGGAACCCAACCAGGGGCTCTGAGACGGGCCCCTAGACTTATATCCAAGATAATTGATTTTAAACGAAATAAAGCAATAGGGGCAGTGCAAAGTCCGGTCGGGGTTCTGCCCTCTGCCCCCCCCCCCCTGGCAAGCCGAAAAGGGGCCCTTAAGCATGCAATTGAACCCCATCCGTAAAGATAAATGTGATTCCCAAGACAACGCTTGGTTGTATAAAATTGTAAAACAAAGTGTTTCTATTGCTCAAAATGACTTTTTTGAAGGTTTTAAATTGCTAAGACTCGAGAACGTCCGAGGGCTCCCGACCCCAGGACCCGTCTGACAAGGGCCCTTCAAGACGTTTCCCTTGACCCCACTCTTCAGCTAGGCGCCTAAAAGGAAAAGGAAAAAAGAGCTACGGAGAAAAGGGATAATGGGAAGAGAAAGTAAGGTTAAAGAGAAGAAGATAGAGGGATAGGGGAAAGAAGGGAGAGATAGAGATAGATAGATAGATAGATAGATTAAGAGAGAGAGATAGGGAGAGAGAGATGAAAGGAAACAAAAACATGAAACCCAAACTTATACAATCATTACAGATTATGAGTCTGCTCATGGGCTTACACGGAGACTGAGGAAGAAAATAAAACAGGACGAAAAACAGTACTCTAAAATAGCTTTAAAGGGATGCTTTACTACTTCAGCAAGAAGGGATTAGACCACCCAGTGAGCCATCGAGGTCATTGTGACAGGTGGCTATCTCATTAACTCAGCTCTCATTTAAGAAAAAGAGGATCATGGGGGACCAACAGGCACCGATTTGGGAAGTTTTCTATATAGAGGGAGCAAGTTGCTACAAGTAGGACAGTGTACCTCTAAGAGAGAAAGAGAGATGTTTTCTAAAATGAAATGATAAAGGCTCAGTGAATTTCAATGAGAAAAAAACAATTTATATCAACAGCGTGACGGCCATCTTAAAGGTATTCAAACCAATGGTTACTATAACTGAAGAACTCAGGGGCTCCCTACATAATTATAGCTCTTTTACACCCTTTTGTTCTACAATTTTTTTAGGGGAGAGTGTGTGTTTCTTTATCGCTCAATTAAGACTTGGTACTTGGTACTTGGTTGGGTAATCCCTTTGGCAGCTCACTCAGGAAGCTATACTGGGATAGTGAGGCGAATAACTACAAGGAGTGTCATGAATTGCAGGAATGGTGTGAGGACAAAGCACTCGTTGATTTACAGTAAAATATGCTAAGTCCAGTGCAAGTAAAAACCAAGCTAATAAGCTTAAATGATGTGGGAACCACCAGGGGGTGCATCATTCTGATGGAGGGTAGAGCAGCCTCCTTGAAGTTGGTTATTCCTGTTGCATTAACTGCTGAGCCTGGCGGAATGATGATTCCAGATCCTTATTGCTCTTGGGTACACTCTTATTTCCACGGCGTCAAATTTCACTCTAAATGGCGTCAGCTGGGAGTCAACTCTATTCCTAGTTAAAGTGACACGGATTCCGAATCAATTTGACTCGGATTGTGTGGCATCAGCTGAGAATTGACTCAATTCAGAGTCAAGATGACTCCTTTTCCGTGTCACTTTAACTAGGAATAGAGTTGACTCCCAGCTGACGCCATTTAGAGTGAAATTTGACGCTGTGGAAATAAGAGTGTAGTATGAGAACTTGAAGGAGTCAATAGTTGCAGGAATTTCATACTTCAGGTTGTGGTCGTGTCTTCCGAAGTATGTAGCCGGGATGATAATAGTTGGTGCAGGTATGGAGACAAGACGGTGATGGATCTTGTAGAGGAGGGCCTGGGTGCATTGATTCGTCGTGTATGAAGCGTGTCCCACCCTAGAGTTTCCACAAGAGCCGATGGTGATGTGGTGTATCTGTAGTCACGTACGGTACACAAAGCGAGCCGCTGTTCTTTGTACTTGCTCTAGCATTTTTTTGACCGTGATGCTGTGTGGGTTCCAAGCCTCAGAGCCAGAGGCATACTCCAATTGGGGGCGTACATACTAAGGCTGTGTAGGCCCTGGACTTTACTTCCCTGGTACAGGGTGAGAGGATCCTGCGAAGAAGACCTAGAGTACGGCTTGCTTTATGCCGGATAGTTTGGCAGTGCTTGTTCCAACGAGGATCAGCAGAAACCGTAACTCCAAGGTACTTGTAGGCCTACTCTTTGACTCTTGGGATCAGTCCAGTTGACAGGTGATATTCTCGGATGCTGGGAGTACGCTTCCGAGTGATGGTGGATGGCGCACTTTTTCACGTTGAAGTCCTATCTTAAAGGTTTCGAACAGCTAAAACTTGAGAGCGTCCGGGGGCTTCACATATGGACCCCCCCCCCATAAAAAGGAAATAATAATTCACCCCCCCCCCCCCTAAAATAAAAACAGAAATTTAAATTATTTTGTTTTAAAAATCGCGAGGCGCGTGTTAAAAATGAATGCAAAAGCCTCCCACACCCCTTCCCACCAAAAAAAGTTATATTTCTGTAAAAATGACAAGAGCCCTCATCCCTCCCATCGTGGAACTATGGCAGTAGGCCTATACGCCTATATAGGTTTGGTTTGGTTTACGGTTTGATTTTATTTTCCATATACAAATTCAATTGCATAAAAGAATACGATTTACAAATATAATACAAATCAAGAATTAAAAAACGGCTGGAATGCTCTATTCAGAACCATTATTAATTAACATGGCTCTGTTCTTCATAGAGGTGCAGAAAATGGTTGCGGTGCTCTATTTCTTCTTCCAATGCTTCTGTTAACATGATCTGTAGGAAGATTATACCATTCAGTGAAATTGAATAAAATGGATTTTTTTAAAAAGCGTTTTGTTCAGGGTTAAAGATCAGTGGCGGATCCAGGGGTGGGCCGAAACGGCCGCGGCCCCCCCCCTATTGGCGGCGCAAAAAAATTGAGAAGGAAAAAAGAGGAAGAAAAAAAAAAAAAAAAAAAAAGGGGGGAAAGGAGAAGATAAAAGAAAAGAGAACAAAAAAGTAAAGAAAAGAGAGAACGTTCAAAAAAGAGGAAAGAAAAAGAAGAGAGGAGCCGGGGAGAAAGAAAGACAACGAAATGGCACTAAAAATTAGCGACAGTAACGACGAATAAGGGAAAGACAAGGGGAAGGGGGGGGTGCGTGAAGGCGGATGCATTGAGGGGGGGGGAGGGGTGACTGGCCGTATTCCTTTTTTTAGGTTATGCGAAACTGAGTCGAAATTATGCTTCTTTTCAAAAAAATCTTAGCATGCGTGTTTATGTTAAGCCGTAGTGCATGAAAAGGTTAGTGTAGAAACACTTCTGAAAAGGCCGCGCCCGGCCCCTCCAAAGAACGGCAGAATGGTAATCTATAAATAATGGGGTCATTCTTGATGGCTTGGGAGTCGTTATTAAGGAGGGGGCCGGCCCTACTCAAATGGTAGTGACGGTAACGATGGATAAGGGAATAAGGAGGAAGGGATGCACATGCAGGCGCGTACGCAGGGGGGGGGGGGGTCGAACCCCCCTCAAATTTTTGTCAAGTTGTCAAGTTGGTCCTGGGCCCCGTTTCTTAAAACTTGATATCCATAACAAGTTACAAGCTACCGTTATAAGCTACTGAAATCATGGCATGTGATTGGCTGAGAGCAAATTTGTCATATAAATTTAGCATTTGTTATAGATAAAAAGTTTTGTGAAACGGGCCCCTGATGTGTATAATGCGTAGACCAGGGGTTCTCAAACTTTTTCTTTGACGGTCCAGAAGCGATTTCTATGAAAGCTGTAAGGTCCGAAATGACACTTGTATACTGAAGATAATGAGGCTTGTTTTTGGTCTATATCTGATCCAAGGAGAATTGTTACAGTTTAAAAAAAACAGAACCGCCAGTGCTTCAACTCGTTTAAATAGAGTTTCCTGAAAAATAACATCCAATATCCTGGAATTTGAAGGAATTTTCTTAAAACTTTCAAAATGCCTCATACGTCGATTTCTTATTTGGATGAATCGCTATACGTTTTAATATATATTAATTATTGAGTGGGCTTATTTTGCTTTCTAATGGATCCATACAACATGGTAGAGCTTGAGGGGCCTGGCAGAGCCTTTTCAAGAGAGAAATTGTCTTTAGGAGAAAAAAAGAGGTTATTTCTAAAATGAAATGAAAGGGCTATTGACTTTCAAGAGAGAAAATTGTCTATAAGAGAGGAAGAGAGGTTATTTCTAAAATGAAATGAAAGGGCTCTGGTCAAATAGCCCTTTCGTTTCATTTTTTCTCTCGAAATAAACTCTCTTTCTCTCTTATTACAATTTTATGAGATGGAATCTTCAATCTGAAGCCTTTTTGTGCTCTTTGAAAATGGCACACTGAATGGGGGCAGTGCAATTTAAATTCCAAGGGATGGATTAGAGTTTTTATCGCTCTTGAAAGTCAAATAGCCCTTTCATTTCAGAAATAAGGCTCTCTTTCTCCCTTATAGACAATTTTATGAGATGGAATCTTCAATCTGAAGCCTTTTTGTGCTCTTTGAAAATAGGACACTGAATGGGGGCAGTGAAATTTAAATTTCAAGGGATGGATTAGAGTTTTTGTCGCTCTTGAAAGTCAAATATCCCTTTCATTTCATTATTTTTAGAAATAAACTCTAATACATTTCTTGATATTTAAATTGCGCTGCCCCTATTGTGTCCTCTTTTTAAAGAGCACAACAGAGCCCTCAGATTAGGCAGCAAGTAGCAAAACAAACCCGTAACACTGGACACAACATTCAATGGGATGATGCCCATATCATTGAGTTTGAAACGCACTTCTGGTCAAGAATGGTAGAAGAAGCATCTGCATAAAAAGGATGAATCCTTCACTGAATAGGAATTCTTGCTATACACTTTTACCTTTGTGTAAATAATAAAAGGTCTACGGGCGTGGTTGGTAGAAGCTTAACCCTAATAGGGCCGGGCTATTTGAAGTCTTAGTAGGGCCGGGGGGGGGGGGGGGCCATTATGGCCCCCCCTTAAGATCTCGGCCGCAAAGCGGCCGATCGCCGCGAAAATTTGCACACATGTCAAGTGAAGTGTAAAGAATAATATGATAATTTCAATTTTTTGAAAAATTCACTCATTTGCATATTTATGGTAATTTATGCAAATAAAGTCATAAAAATTACATTTTTACCCATAAATCACATATTATTCATATTTAAGCATTCTTTTTCACTAGATATATTCATTAGACCATTCTGAATAATAATACGACAAAAATTTTGGAAGAGCCAGCTTATTTCTTATGTTATCCCTTGTTTTGATAATTTCTTATGTATTTCATTGTTTTTTTAACTTATGTATTTCATTGTTTTTGTTGTTTTATTTCATCTTTTACTACAATTCAACTATTTTGACTCCCAAAACAACCACCTAAACTTTAAACAAGACCCAATAACCCATGTTTGATCTATTTTTAGGAAAAATGACTTTGCCATACGTTTTGTACACAAATCACGAAAATGAGCGATTTTCAGGCTGACATGCAAAGACAAAAGGTCACGTGACCTTGTAACCGTAGGTCCGATTTTCAAAAAAATTATTTTAAAAGTTGCGCAAGACTCGAAAGAAAAAAGTCAGCGAGCGGCGGGGCGCCATCCATATGCGTTCCCGAGCAATCAGAAAAATTGTGGAGGGGGGGCCATAATGGCCCCCCCCCCGGCCTTATTAGGGTTAAACTACATAAAACTCTCTCCAATTTTGCAGGGGGAGAGCCTTTGTCGGGAGTCTTTAATAATAAAAGCGATAAATCCTTCACTGAATAGGGATTCTTGCTATATGTTACCTTTCTTCGCTCCAGTGATCTCGAGGCAGCAGACAGTAAGAAATTGTGTAAATAATTTGCTGTTGCCGAGAGTCTTGCATGGGGCGGAGCCCCAGGAAGTTCTTGAACTTTAAAAAAAATTAGGAAATTCCAAATAGTCGTCATGAGCGATAGAAATTGTAATTTCCTCCTTGAGAGTCACATAACCCCTTTCATTTCATTTTAGAATTTAACCTCTCTTTCTTTTTTAAAGACAATTTCATATAACTTCTGTTTTCGTATTGTTGTACTTTCGTCCGCAGACTACTTAAGCACATGTCGAGCCAACTCAGTCGGAAATGTATTATGTAATATGTAGGTCTAAGTGTAAAGTTAAGTTTCATGTTCTTCCTTTTTTCTTTCTTTCTTTCTTTCTCTCCCTCTCTCTGTCTCTCTCCTTTTCCTCTATCTTTTAAAAAAACAACATTATTCTTTCTTTTCTTCTCATTTTTCTGTGTGTGACATGCGTTATCAATGTCTTAATATGGTAGATTTACATTTTGATGTTTCCCTTTGTAGGTGCACCTTATATTCCAGAAAGTGCCCTATTTTGATGGTGCCCCTCCCCCCCCCCCCATGTATTGATCTTGAAAAAATAACTTTCTCATTAATTCTATTTCCAATATATCTAATACTTGCACTAATCTCCAATTTAAAAAAAAATCGTCTACTTTCTCTCAAGACAACATTATATAAAGGATTCATTAATGCAAGGCTATCTCGCGAGTAATCTCTCAACTTCTAACTTCCTGCATTCCTCATCTCCCAGTCTCCCTTGCTTTAATATTCCTCGTTACTTCCTTCCAATTGAACTCCAACTTAATTGATGTTATACACTGTATCTATTCTTCAACTACAGGTAGATGCAAATGTTACTAAAACTCCATTATATAAATCACACTCAGGATACAGCCAACTGACGAGAATTGCTTCAATCTATATTTTACATGTTTTATTAATATATGGTTTTACAATGGCTATGGTGATGAGTTGTCTAGGTAACATGTTGATGTGTTTGTTAAAATGTATTACCATGGTGCACCTTCTTGGTTACAAAAAAAATATGTGTATGTATTAACGTAAGTTTGTGCCTTTACATATCACAGTAGAAATCAATGTTTTATATTTGATGCAGAATAATATTAATATTTGGAGATTAGAATTACAAACAGTTTCCATAACCGTTCAAGTATTTCAAAAAAGTTAAGCAAACTTTTTCCTGGATGTAAATTCACACTAGCGTATAGCATAGCGAGCTCTCCGATCCAGGCTAGACTCTTCGCGATCGGTTTCATTGGAATTTTAAGCGGTTTCATTGGAATTAATCGAGAAATTCCCCTCGCTAGCGTGTAAATAAAAAATACGCCGGCCGGCCATACGTAAATGGCAGTGACGGTAACGACGGATTAGGAGGAAGGGGTGCATACGTGAACTACCTTTGCTAACTGCCCTTTTATTGTGAATCGTGCCCATTTTCCTTTCTAATAAGGGACCTATCCCCTTTTCATAAATGATCTTTTTCACCTCTGATAAATCAATTTCTGATAGATGCCCCTTTTCCGTCAACAAATGCCCATTTCCCATACTCATAAGTGCCCTATCTCGTTTCTGGTGAGTGCCTCCTTTCAGGTGTAAGAAGTGCCCCGTTTGAACCTTTGATAATTACTCTTTGTACCTTGACACATGCTCCTTTCTTTTCTAATAAGTGTCTTTATCCCTTTCGATATGTGTCCCCTTAACCTCTCATCATCAGGCACGTAGACACGGGGGGGGAGCACGTGCCCCCTAACCTGCTCATCATTAGTCTTGCACCTAATTTAAAGCGACTAAGAGTAGTTTCTCCTAAAGCTCGCATTTATAGATGATACAATTATATGTCACTTTAAAACAAATGTTTTTTCAGTCTTCCGTGATGCTTATAACCCCATCATGATTTGGTTTTTTCCTCTTTATAAGATGTAATTTTTCACTCTGCGACCTCACAGATCTTACATTTTTTCTCGCTCGCTTTGCTCGCTCGCAAATGAATATTCAGACAATCACACCAGCCGAAAGTGTGATGCTTAAGCAATATCTTGTATGATATATAAAGAAAAACAAATATTGAAATCGTCCCTGATAATGGAATCACAATGAAAGGGTATATACCAATGTCTAAAAAAATGTATATTTTCGCTTTGAGATTTCGCTTTGTAGGTGCCCTTTTTTGTTGGTGCTTTCCACTTTGGAAATAGCTCCGCCGCCCCTGCTTACGCATTACCGCCACCGTTAATTTCACGCTTACGCGCACAGGGGGTGTCTGTGTGTGTGTGTGGGGGGGGGGGGGTTCCTCTCTAGCTTTGAAGCTGATTTTTTTTTTTTACCTGGATTCGTGCGATTCGGTTAATACTTTTAGAGAGAGTCTGAGGGGTGATGTGCCCCCCTCTGAAGCTGACATTTTTTGGACTTTTGAAACTGGATTCGTGCGTTTCAGTTAATACTTTTTTTTGGGAGTCTGATTTGATTTCAAAACACCTGCAGTTAATGCGGGATGGGGTTGCAGCCTCTCTTTCCCCAAAAATTTAAAAATTACCAATATGCATTTGTTATATCTTATCTCGTATATTTTGGTGACAATTAACACTTTTCACAACATACATAAGCTCAAATTGCCGCTCACTCGCCAAATTATTAAACCGGGAAATAGATATTGGGGCAAGAGGCTTCAGCCCCCACTGAAGGAAATGTCAAAAAAATTGCGCGCGAGCATAACTTGAAAACGGGGAATGTTGATGTCGGACAAGAGATGTGACGTGAGCATGTCCCCTTTCCAAAATAATTGTGCCCGTTTGTAGGTACCAGTACACTATTAAAGTACAGTGCTTCTAATATGACCTTGTCAGTATTGGTAAGTTTAAATAACGGTCTGCGCGAATTTCGAATTTCCGGCCCCCCCCCCCCCCCCTATTGGAAATTCCTGGATCCGCGCCTGAAGATAAAAGAAAAACATACAGCCACTTACTCTTTCTCGTTCTCTTTCTCTTCCCCTTTCTTTCTCTCTCTCTCTCTCTTTCTCTCCCTCTCCCTCTTCCTTTCCCTCTCACTCATAACAAGTAACTGCCCAATTTGGAGACAGGTGATAGATCCCCCTGTCCATCCCGAAAATGAATCGTCGAAATAAAATATCGTCAATAGATGGCGTTCTTCATTTCGACACAAATTGATCAAAACGTAAACATGTGCAATTATTTGGCGCGCCAGTAGTTTCAATGAAGTCACCGCACTAGGTGTGCTCACGATCACCGAAACGCTGGACAAATTTCCGCCGTCGCGTCGGGTACGTTCACGGTGTAAATACGAACAAGCAACGTCATCTGCTTACTTGCTGGTTTGTGGATCCCCGATCTTTGCAGTTTAATTTTCTGCATAAGGACATCGACAACCGTATCACTCAGGTATTGATTGAATTGAATTTTGCCTTGTCATCTCATTTCTCACCCATTTTTCTTGAATCATCATGCAGTTGAATAATTTCAACACTTCTGTCGTCGTCGTTCAGCTCAGTCTCTGAGTAGACCACTCCAGGCCAGGGGGCTCCGGCGCCTAAGCGAAGGCGCGGCGGCGGAGCTCCCTGGAACAGTGGAAACTGGAGGTACTCACGCATAGCTGCATTACTATCCTGGCTGTGTATTAAAAGCTGTGCTATTGATTCTCAACATTTCAAACACCACTGTACAAAACTCAACTGATTTCACTCAAAATCGTTATTTGTGACAATTGATGACACCTAAATAGAGTAAAGTACCCGGTAATCGGTCAGCTCCGGTTTTCGGCCAATTGGTTGGATACATGGTAAAATCACTTTAAAATACATCGCATAATAGCATAACACATATCCCACACATACCATACCATGCCAGTGTCACTGAAGAACCACATTTGCAATGAAAAATATATCCTAAAATATCACATTTTAGCGATGTAATCGGCGGTCCCGCTACCCAAATCTGAAAAATCGAGTTTCTTACGCGTGTATGTAAGAAATATGGGTACCATAAAATGAGCTTTATTTCAAGTATTTTTCAGATATAGAGCCCGATTTTGTGCTGGTCGCAAGCTCAAAAGTATCTCATCGCATGTATTAAATCAATGCAGCCGCACACCGCGACGCACACACGATATGTCCGTCTAATTCAGATTCCAACTTCCGATCACCGCTGTGCCTGTATTCGGTCAGGCGGGCACCCGGGAGCTCCGGCGTGGGATACCTGCTCCGCCCGCTTGTGCTATACATCAGCGCACAAACGCACGGCGCGCGCGAGCGCTTCCTATTGACTTTGTACATGCGGCCGTAAACTGAAACGCTCGGCCGATAACCGGCTCCAAAACAGTGAAAATTGAAATGAATATTGTCATGGCAATTCGTGATTTTTTTTGGGGATTCTTTTTTTGTTTAAATAATAATAATATTTGCTTCATGATTTGAACAAGAAATGATAATAAATAGGAAGTAAAGAGTCCAATAAATAGGATTTTGTCTTAAGTGGCCGAAAACCGGGTACTTTACTCTAGATCTAAGTCTAGCAGTAGCAGTTAGACTCTAGATCTAAATACAATTTTTTTCATCTTTTCGAAGTTAAAATAGACCCTAGATCTAGATCTAGACCTAGATCTAGATCTAGATCTAGTGTCTGGACGATTTTTCAATTTTCAATTTGGGATCGTTTTTCACCATTTTTGTTGGATATTGGAATAAAAAATGTAATCAGAATAATACCTTTCAAATTTCAAGACTCACCAATGTTTCTATCAAAAGATACAGCCCCTCAAAAACTGTGCAATATTCATAGCATTTCGGTCAGAATGGACAGAAAAGTGGTTCACGCAGAGTTATAATTTCTGCTCAAAAGCTGCACAGCTAATGCACAGCACGATATGCAAAGCGTGGAGCAAGGGTATTTTCAAACTGTTGGGCCAATTGATCCCTTGGGACTAGAGAAAAAATAAGTGCATATTCTTTACAGCTGGCCCAACTTATCCCTCGGGTGAGCAGTTCGTGAAATTGGTAAATCTCCGAGTTACCATGGAAACGATGTTTAAATCGCTGTTTTGAGCAAGATATTTTTAGAATTTTGGGGGTGGCCCCCTATGGGGAATATGGAGAAAAACCTGCTCTTTCATATGGCACCTCACTCATTGAGTATCACCTTCAGGATCATTTGTTATTAAAGGTTTGAATTTCAAATTTTTCATAAAATCATTGACCAATTTTGCTTGGTCGCTCAATGCACATAGACCACATAGGGATGCGTGCAATCTCTATGGGAAAGATTTTAGTACACAACATCTGGTGCGCGATCAGACACCCTAATAAAGAATAATAAAAAAAATCAAATTGTGAGTCTACTGTCTAGATCTAGTCTACTGATCAAACTTGCCGATCAGCCGCATCGGCATGATTGTGTGTATCTGTGTGTTATGATTGTATTGACAATTGATGTATTCAAATGCCGCTTACGGTAATATTAACATGCAGTGCAGTGCTAGAGGTCAATTACTGATTCCATGACATTTGCTCCGGCGACAATTGCTCCGCTGTAAATTTCATACACTAATCGAATGGCTAACTTCAACCCTGGATTCAACACTATACCCTACCCTAAACCTAACCCTAAACCTAACATAAAACCCTATTGAAACCCTAACCCTAACCCTACATCTTAGACGAAATAAAGCCCGGAGCAATTGTCGCAGGAGCAAATGTCGTGTCACCCAATTACTGAATGAGCATTGGAGTGGAGTTACTCAGTTTCAAGATATTCAATCCGAATTCTTAATCTTTCAGATAGTGCACCTCCATATGTAGCAGAACTGTGCAACATGCTTTCGTCCTGCCAGTTGTAAGATGATCCTTTTTATCTTCTGTTTTTAAAAAATTGTTACAACTGCCACTGGACTTCCTTACAAGTAGACCTATCTTTATCTTTCTATCAGGATCCTTCTACAAACGAGAGAGGTGATAATATGCAGTAACCATGGTAACTCCTTTTGTAGATGGTTGGGACTTTGTACAGACGTTAGGCGAAGGAGCATATGGAGAGTGAGTAGATAAATCCATTTTTAAAATCTTTTGTTTTCCATTGCGTTGAAATGGGTCGACTAGTCTATCATTCATATGAAATGAGTCAAAACAGAGCACTGAGTAGAATAGACTGGTTTACTACCTTATTCATTTGTACTGATGTTTCTTTCCTGGGGGGTGTTTCATAAAGCTGTTCGTAAAGTTACGCATGACTTTACGAACGACTTGTATATGAAGTGCCAGATAGGGTGCCCAAATTTTTTGTTGATATTTTCAATAACCTCAATTGAATTATGGCAAAAAATATACTTTGCAATAAAAATGTTTGTTATCATTAGAATGTTAATCTACATCTGCACAGTTCAATTTTATTAGATGTTTTTAATAATGATTGAGCATCCCATTTGGCTTTTCATATACAAGTCGTTCGTAAAGTCATGCGTAACTTTACAAACTCTTTATGAAACACCCCCCAGGGGACCTAGTGACAAGCTATTTCATTAACCTGTACATTTAGATGGTCATTCAAGTTTTTATACACATTTTATGTAAACATTGCATTATTGGGTCCCTGGACTACTGTATTGTACATTGTATAATATATGTTGATATTAATAAACCGAAATTGAATTGAATTGAATTACGGTAATGAATGAACTACATGTACTATTCTTGGAATCCAACCTGCACACATTATGTGTTGCCATGTTGGGCAAGCCTTCAGTCTGTCTTGAACAACCTTTGTTTAAACAGTATGCACAACATTTGAATATTTTAGTAAACCAAACCGGAAGCAGGATAGTCCATAAACGAAAATTCATACATGAAAAATTGCATGTAAAATGGAAGGAGTATGTATGAACTGATGTTTTTGAGGGGTGCAGTTCCTCATGGCTGGGGGCCATGGGTCGCTTGAATAGGGCAATCCAAGCTTACGCGGTAGTGATAAATTCATTTGTATGAAAGCAAAAACATTTGAGAAACAGAATGGCAAAAGTTTGAATAAATACAAGAAGGACCAATAATAAGAAAGTTATGAATGTTTGAATTAATGAGATCACTAAATCTGTTTGAATCTCAAATTGGCAATTTGGTCAGTGTACTATGACGACGTAATCATGAGTAAATCCCTAGTTTGTCGTGTACAAATATATTGTTACTTTTTGTTTATCTCCTACCTGCCTTCTCCCTTGGGGCAGTAATCAAAAGATATTTGATTGATTTGATTGATATATTCCTTTGAATCTTCTTTTGAAGGGTCAAGTTAGCCGTCAACCGGTCAACTCAGGAGGCAGTAGCGGTCAAGATTCTACATCTAGATAAACAACAAGGGGCAGCTGATAGTGTTAGGAAAGAGGTGAGGTAGACAAAGCTATTGAAACATCTCTAAAGCTCATCAGTGAAAAGACTCTCTTAAATTGGCAACAATTTCCATCATCCTTCATAGTCCATTTGAAATAGTGATAACTTCTTAATTAAAATCTTGTTCACATATGATGCGGCAAAACAGCAGCGTTTCTTTAAAGATGGTGTCGAGTTTAATGCGCTTCATATTTTTGTATATTATAACAGAGAGCTCAGTAAATACGAGAATTCTTTTGTTGCACGCAATTGCTATTCATTTTTATGTTAAAAAAACGTGGCGGTTTACTAGGCCATATCCGAACAAACCTTTAGTGATCACCTGCATAGAAAGCCTACCTATAATTACCACATAACGTGGCTCAGCCGTTTTATGAATCCAATTATTGTCATTATTATTATTATTATTATTATTGTCATTATTATTATTATTATTATTATTGTCATTATTATTATTATTATTATTATTGTCATTATTATTATTATTATTATTATTATTATTATTGTTGTCATTATTATTATAATCATTATTATCATTATTATTATTATTATAATTATTGTTATCATCATTATTATTATTATTACTATCCTCTTAGGTATGCATTCATCGAATGTTAGGAGATCCGCATATCATCCGTTTCTATGGTCATCGTAAAGAGGGCAGCATCCAGTATTTGTTCGTGGAGTACGCTAGCGGAGGAGAGCTCTTTGATAGAATAGGTAAGAAACAGCGTATTTCAAATTACTGTTACTTTCTGTAAATTTTTAGGTTTTTCCAGGTATTGCTTCTGTAGAACACACCTTATTATGATTATTAAGCTAATGCTAAGACCCGGCGCACACTACACGATCTGACTATGATCCAATTTTGAAACAATTTGCAATTGCAATCAGGTTCACCTTATATCCATATTTCGATGAGAAACACTATGACTATTCAAGGGAAATTGAAAGCTTTGGTTTTTATAAATAGGTGGTTGCATTTAAGTAGGTTTCTTTTGTATTTTTTGCAATATAGATGAAAAGATTTACTTCTCCCTCTTTCTGGTGCTCTGCTCTACAGCAGGTTTTAAGCATGAAAAACATTCCATTCTTTTTTGTATTCAGCTCTTGTAATTTTCCTCTTAAATTCAGTGTTTTGTAGCAGTATTCCTAGAAAGAGACAAGCCAACCACACAATCAGGAGAGATAGTGTAATACAGGAAAAGCTGTATATAAAGACCACTCAAGGAAAACATGAAAATTGGTCTTTACAGGCAGGTGGTCTTTATGTACAGATTCCTTTAGTACAGGGTTCAATGAGAAACCATATTTTCAAGTTAAATGTGTTTTTTTAAAGGTGGTGGTCGTACATGTGGTCGCTAAAGCAGGTTTCACTGTATAAGTTTGAAATAACAAAAAATCTGATTATCCCCTATTTCACTTCGTTCCTGTCTTTCATTAATACTTTCCTTCTTTCTCTCTCTCTCTCTCTCTCTCTCTCTCAATCTCTCTTTGTCTCTCTCACCCATTCTTTCCTTTCTTCTTTCTCCCTCATTCTTTCTCTTTTTCTTTTTTGTTTTCTTCTTTCTTTCTCTCTTTCCTTCATTCTCTCTCTCTCACTCTTTCTTTCCTTTCTTTCTTTCTCCTTCTTTCTTTCTCTCATTCTTTCTTTCTTTCTTTCTCTCACACTCTCACTCTTTCTTTCTTTCTTTCTTGCTCTCTCTCCCTCTCTCTCTCATTCTCACACTCTCTCTTTCCTTCTTTCTTTCTTTCAGAGCCTGATGTTGGCATGCAAGTTACCGAAGCTCATCGTTTCTTCTCACAACTCATTGGCGGTGTAGAGTACCTGCATAAGAAAGGGGTCACGCATCGCGACCTCAAACCAGAAAACCTGCTCCTAGATGAACATGGTAAGATCAGAGCTTGCCCCATACAGGTTTGTTCCGAAATAACGCGACAAAACCGCTGCTTTTTTTTAGATGATGTAAAGTATCATATGCTTCACATTTCAGTATTGTATAACACAGAGCTCAGTGAATATATGCATAGGATCTATGTTGCGCGCAGTTTCCATTCATCCTAATTGACACGTAAATAAACTGTTTTGGTTTTGGGTTAGTGGCGGTTTACCTCATCACATCAGGGACCCGTTTAACAAAAATTGTCATCAGTGACAAATGACAGATTTTGTTATAACTTATAAGCTACTGAAATCCTTGCTTCTGATTGGTTATCAACAGATTTGTCACTGATTTTTGTCATTTGTCATTGATATAAAAGGGCTTTGTGAAACGGGTCCCTGAACCAGCTTCTGTACTCTTCCGCTTTAATACCTTAGATAACTTGAAGATTTCAGACTTTGGGCTAGCAACCTCAAACCAGAAAATCTACTCCAAGATTAACATTGTAAGGTCAGAGCCTGCCCCATACAGGTTCGTTCATATATGACGTGGCAAAAACCATCCTCTGTCATGCGCAGTTGCAATTCTTTGACGCGTTAACAAACCGCTTTGGTTTTGGTTTATTAGCCGTTTACTTCATCACATCTGAACGAGCCCCCATGCTTTTCTGCTTTATTGCCTCAGATAACCTGAAGGTTTCAGACTTTGGGCTAGCGACCGTCTTCCGGCACCAGGGCAAGGAGCGTCTCTTGGGCAAGTGCTGCGGGACGCCGCCTTACGTTGCCCCAGAGGTACTCAAGAGGAAGGAATACCACGCCGAACCGGCTGACGTTTGGTCTTGTGGGATTATACTGGTCGCCATGCTGGCTGGGGGTAAGCAAATTTAATGAGAAGGGTAAACGTATACCCATCACCTAAAATGGGGAAGGGCTTCCTTAGCAGTCAGGTAAAACAAACAAACAAACAAATAACCAACATACATGTACATGTACAGTTAATAACTAAATCATTCGTATCCTTGCCAAGTTTTGTGATTTTTTATTAAGTACCGGGTAAGTAAAAAATGTATTTGTCCCAATTTATATTTCTTAACAAATATGAAATGATAAATCTTACATCTGAAAGTATTCAACAAAGGCCCTAATTCAATCAACCGGTCAACCTTTCATTCTTGATTGACGAAAAACAACAACAAATTTACAAGGGATATGAATAATTTAGTTATTGTGAAGATGAAAAGGAAATAACGCTCATTCTTAACCCCAAGTCATTACAATTTTCCTTGTAGTACACTACATGATGCCTGAAAACCGATCAATCCGCTATGCTCTGATAAATTTCTTCATGTGGGGAAGCATTAGTTAGAGATTTTGCATGCTATGAATTTCGTCTAGAATTTGCTTAATTTTATTTTGCAGAATTGCCGTGGGATGAGCCGACATACAGCTGTAAGGAGTACTGTGATTGGTTGGATAAGAAGATGCATCTGTCTCCTTGGAAAAAGATCGATACCACACCCCTTGGTAAGAATCCCAATAAACATGTTGACTTATAAGTTGATTTTCCATGGGCAGGGGGAGGTAGGGGGGGGGGGGGGTGTTTGGAGATTGAATTCCAATTTGAATTTGAATATAATTATATGTATATACACCTGTATTTTTGTGGAATACATAATTTTACTGTCATATTGTTATTGTTTTTTTGTTTTTTTTCTGTTTATCGTGAATTAGACATTTGAGCTCAATTGTCTTTGGTGTACTATAATTTGAATTTTTGTTATCCTTTGTTATGTTTAAAAAAAATTGAGAATGATTTGTTTGGACTATAATCAGTAAATTTTGAAATTGAATTGTTATTATTGTTATTTTTATGGGGGGGGGGGGAGGGGGGGGGGAGGTGATATTGAATGAGGATGAAAAATGCAGCAATAAACAGGTGGAAGTATTACAGGGAAACCTACATATTAAAAGAGAACTGAAGGGAAACATAAAAAACAGTCTATTTAGGCAGGTTGTCTTGATTTACAGGTTCGATCAGTACAAATTCCTTCAGTACAGGATCCAATGAAGAACCATATTCAAGGGGAATGAAAAATGTGGTCTTTTAAGACAGACAGACTTTCTATACAGATGGGCAATGAAGCAGGATTGACTGTTTTTCCAAAACGGGAGAGAAAGGTACTTAATGAAGCACTTCTATCACTTTGGGAGTAATTACAGTCAAACCTGCTTTAGCGACCACCTGTATAGTAAGACCACCTGTCTATAAAGATTGCTTTTTTTTGTTTCCCTTGAATATGGTTTCTCATTGAAACCTGTACTAAAGGAACCTGCACATGCATGTAAAAGACCACCTGCCTCACTGTAACGACCTCTTTTCATGTTTCCCTTGAGCGATCTTTATATACAGGCTTCCATGTATTTTAATAATGCACAGAGTGGTAGACCATATGTTGTGTATATTTTGCATATTTGGATTTGCCAATTTTATATGAACAAGAATTTTTGAATTTCTCAACATTTTCGCCAATAAAATGAATTTATTTCACTACCTATTTTTTAATAAAGGAAAAACAGTAAAAACAAAAAAAAATCTGGCATCTGATACCGTATAGTAATGCAACAAAATGGTCACATTATGTTCAAAATTATAATTTGCAGTTTCTGCTTATCCGTCTAACTGTAACCAACTTTTTAAGTTACTCTTACTCAAAAGAATTTGAGCTATAAAACAGCACAAATTTTGGAAAATTGTCCCGAAGAAGGTGCAAACTTGAATTGCCAATTTGACATGCCACTTCTGTACTGATCTCTTCCAATCATAGCCCTTCTGAGGAAGATCCTGACGGAGACTCCGGCCAAGAGGATTACCATCTCACAAATAAAGAAAGATCGCTGGTACAGGTCAAAAGGTCAGTTGTACGACACTTGCTCCTCCGACAGGAAGCTGCTTTAGAGATGCGTGTGTGTGTGTGTGTGTATTGGGTTTTTACAGACGTGTATCAATCAGATATGACTATTTACGTCTGGGGACCGACCTTGAAACGTCACCATCAAAAAGATGTGACTCAGTTCCTAACCTGCCTCGTTGGCTGAATCAGTTTGTAACTTCCACTTTTAGCTGGATTTAAAGGCGCACATCACAACGTCTAGTTGTGGGATGCTATCCGAGATGCTATCTGCACATGGGCAGATAAAGGTCATTTGTACAAAACTGTAAAACCCTTCGAGACGAATGCTAAGCAGAAGGTTATTCATAGTGTCATAGCTTAAATAACGATAGAATAATGAATGAGACTTGTCGAGTTCATTATCAGTCTCATCACGACTGAATTGAGTGCAATGTATGAACAAACTTCATAGCGTGAATTATTTGTTTTAAAAGATAGGTCTACAATATGAATATCTATATTCAAGAAATAAGCTACGAACTTGATCAAAAAGCTCAGTTTGCATTGTCACTGAGGCCACCATTTACTCTTTGAATGACATCTCAGAAATAGTATATATATAATGCGAGTCTCAAAAAGAAAGTATGTGTAATTGCATCTCTGTATGCACCAATTACTGTCTGTGCACCTTAACCGTATATTCTCACTTTTGCCATGAGTTGTCTATTCTTGTAGGAACTTTTCTGAAAGGTGGGAAAGAATGATGAACAGAAACAAAATCTTTTTATTGAGCAACTCCATTACTTTTAGGTGCAATTTTTAAATGTACCAAGTGGAACCTCTCCATGTTTTAAATGTCCATTGATATTTAAGGTAATTCTGGGCCCCATCTTATATAGAGTTGATATTAATCGCAACTTATTTATGAATGATATCAAATGCAACTATGTACATAAGATTTGGATCAATCGCATCTCTTTGTAAGACGGGGCCCAAAATAAAAATATTTTACGTTCCCAACAGCACTGTTTTAAAGTGTTGATATTTTAATTTTTCTGTACAGGTACCATCGGAAGAGTCCCCACCAGCTCGCCGAATACAGGCAGTATGAAGCGAGTGTGTACCGGAAATGATCTGTCACCGCTTGCAGCTGGAAACAAGTAAGCATGTCCCCTTTAAATACTCACTAGATCAAAAGTTGGAAGATGATTACAATGTTTATAACATTTTCGTTGTTTTTGTTGATTGATGTACATGTACTGATTTTTTCCAAGTTGTTTACTACTTTACTCAGTAATGAACTAGACATCCAGCTAGGGCACCGTTACAGACAAAAGTTATGGTTGATTGTATTAGGCCTGAGTCATCACGGGTTTTGCCGAACCCTGGTTTGACTTCAAAATTTCGGGCGGGGACCGGGTACCCGAAATTTTCACCACTGACACTAAAACCGTATGCATGCAGCGGAGGGAGTTAAGATTAAGTAGTTGTTCCAATAATGCGACGGAAAAGACAGTTACTGCTTTCAAAATTTTAACATAATCAACTGAATTAAATGAAGATGCTTTAAAAAATAAATGGATATCGTTTCAGTTGACGGTAGGTGTTTTTATCGCTCTAATATTGAGGCTGCAAGAAAGGAATCACGCTTCGTGACCTTACCGAGTGCGTTCAGAAACGGAAGTGGAAATATGACCCACTGAAGACTGAGCAAGTTAAGAAAGTCCTACACACAAGACTAAAATGTTGATCAGACTATTACAATTAAATCGTAATACTAATAGGCATTAATTTAATTGTCAAAATTTATCTACAACATTATGGTTTACCCTTGATATTTTGATGAAGGAAAATAATTTGAAGCTCTTGAAATAACATCGAAGTGCCTTTCGTTCGTTCTAAAAATGCGTGTGTAACGGCAAGCTGAAGTAGTGAAGTTACGAGTCAAGCTTGATATGCATGTTTACATCTCTACACCCTCATCCGAGCTAATCGGAACAATAAGAATTTACCAATTAAAAACATCACGTGAGGCTTTCAGGGACTCCAATTCAACAAGGCACTTCAATGTTATTTCAAGAGCTTTAATTTACTTTCCTTCATCATACTATCAAGGGTAAACCATTATGTTGTGGATATATTTTGACAATTAAATTAATGCCTATTAGTACTATTACGATTTAATTGTAATAGTCTGATCAACATTTTAGTCTTGTGTGTGGGACTTTCTTAACTTGCTCAGTCTTCAGTGGGTCATATTTCCACTTCCGTTTCTGAACGCACTCGGTAAGGTCACGAAGCATGATTCCTTTCTTGCAGCCTCAATATTAGAGCGATAAAAACACCTACCGTCAACTGAAACGATATCCATTTATTTCTAAAGCATATTTATTTAATCAAATTGAAATAGAAGTTTGTGAATTGCATATTTTTAGTTCTTTATTTCAAAATATTAGTGTGAAATTTAATTTTGAAAATTTTCTTGCTACGAGTAGATATGGGGAGTGTTTCACAAAGACTAAGATCGACTTTAAGTTGGACTTAACTATGGCAGGCCATTCATGCCACTGTTTGCTCTCACCATTATGATCTTTAGATAATATTTTTTCCTTCATCAATGAATTATTAAAAAATTTAAATTCTGTAGATTTGCGACCATGATTTGTAAGTCCCTTGATTAACCAATGCCAGTAAATGGTGAGAGAAAACAGTAGCATGAAAAGCCTGCCATAGTTAAGTCCAACTTAAAGTCAATCTTAGTCTTTGTGAAACACTCCCCTGGTAAGATAGAATTAGTTGCAGCCAGGGTTGGGTGGTAAATACTGGTGGCGGTAATTAACGGCGGTAAATACCGGTAAATACCGTCCGGTAAATAAGATGCGCGTCCGGTAAATATGTAAAAAAAGGGAAATATGATTTTAATTCTCTATTTATTAATAATTTTACTTGTTTTTAGCCCCATAACTGAAAATATTGTTCTGAAATAATTAGCAGCACAATACTCATAGTAGGAACACACAAACAGATTTATAAAATCCTCACTGCATACAAAATTGTACACACCCAAACAAATGGCATTTTGTGCATATGCTAATTAATAGGTATTCATGAATATGGTAATTGGCAACTGGGAACCAAAACCTTCATACAAGTTACTTTTATTGTAAATTTTAAGATATTTGAATAAAATCAGTGAAAATTTGAACAAAATCGGGCAAGGAATAAGGAAGTTAAAGCTTTTTGAAATGACTAGTCACTAGAGGGCGATATTCCATTTGATGACATCCATGCCTTTTGTACATCAAATTTCATGTTTTTCCTTCTTTCTTGTGATTGAGATAATAGAATGCAAAATGATATTCTACTTCACATGTTATGAAATCCGATCAAGAACACAAATAAATAGGAAAAAAACGAAAGACTTGTGAAATTTGATATACAAAAGGCATGGAGAGTTGTCCACAAATGATGTCATCGAATTGAATATTGCCCTCTAGTGACTAGTCATTTTTAAATGCTTTAACTTCCTTATTCCTTGCCCGATTTTGTTCAATTTTTCACTGATTTTATTCAAATATCTTAAACTTTACAATAAAAGTAACTTAGTATGAAGGTTTTGGTTCCCTTAAATGAAGAACATCATATCTAGAATAGGTGTATATTTGGTATCTTTTTCCTGTATTTTTTTCCAGCAGTACATAATTACAGACCTAGACAAACACACGAACAAACACACACACACACACAGACAAATAGTACACACAAGAGCAACCATACTCACCACCATTGTTATTATGTTCAAAATTGGACAATCCCTATGAACAAGTGAGTGGAAAAATATATTTCCCGGTATTTCCCGGTAAAAAGTGGTAAATACTGGTAAAAAGCGGTAAATACCTGTAAATACCGCTTATTTCCCGGCGTCCGGGAAATATTAGCCTCCGAAGCGGGAAATATGCCAACCCTGGTTGCAGCAAGATTGGAAATAGATTTTTATGATTTATTGTAAGTAAATCTTTATGTTAATACAGGGCCCTGAGCCGTTATTTAATTCAATATTTAAGTCAGAAAATATGAGTATTTTACTCAGTATTTTGGCTCAGATTAAATACTTAGCCAACTCTGGTATTTAGTGTAAGATTTTGGCTCAGTATTTTATCCCAAGTATTTTTCCATAGTTATCTAGAATGAGGTCACGCAGAAATTATATGAATACTTTTGTTTTGTATCCTCTGCAGCAAAGTCTCGTCCTCTCAACCCACCTACCACACCAATGCCCCATCGACACCAGGCGAGGGCAGTATACCGAGCTCAGTGGAGGAACTTGTGAACGCTTTCAGTTTCTCCCAGCCTATACATTCAGACAACATGCTGTTGAGTAGTCAGCTGCAGTGTACTCCAGGAGCTTCACAGGTATAAAAAGGAAAAATCCAACTTTAGGCCATTAAAAAAAAAAAAGTTTAGCGTCCCCCCCCCCCCTGCTCACTTCTTTTTTAGGGGCCGCCTCCAAATTTGTTTTCAATGAATAAAAACATAATGCTAAAATGATAAATTTCTAATTTAAAAAAAAAAAAAATTAAAAAATGATGGCGGCAATCTTGAAAAATAGCCCGACTGTCAGGGAAAATGAGAGCAGCCATTTTGGAAAAGAGAAAAAAAGGGCCTCCTCCTCCTTCCTATTTTTCAAAAAGGCAGGACGCTAAACATTTTTTTTTTTAAATGGCCTTATTAGCAAGTTGCTCTGAATAAAAGAAAGAAGAAAATTAGAGAAGGGTAATGGTAAAAGTTTACATGAAATAGGACAAACTATAAGAAGTTATGAAATTTTCAAAAGTTTTAGTCATTAAGCGTAAGGGAATTTTAGATTTTCGTGACGGACAACTCTCCTGTTTGTTCTAAATTAAACTCAGAAATCACTAACATGTCAATTTTGCAAAATGTATCACTTAGGGGATCTTATAATAACTTGCTAGCCTTGATATATTTTGAGAAGTGCCCCAGGAGAAAGCGCTAAGAAGAAAAACAAACATTAATTATATTTTTGTACATGACATACTGGAGATGTGTTATCCATGACTTTGTCATAATCCACTGATTAAAGTGCCAATTTGAGCTTTGCACAGATGTAGTGATTTTGTATTTCAAGCATATGTAACTTTTGTATTATTGGTCTGATGTATGCGTCTCTAAATTTGCTGAATGGACTCATTACAAAGGTTGAATTGCCCTTGAAAGGATACATTGTGCAGTCTTCCCATTGGAAGAAAAAGCAATAATATAATGTATTTATAATGTGCCAACTCAACATAATATGCTTAAGGTGCAAAAGAAGAGAAAAGTTGAGGGCATTAAGATACACATAAATGAGACAACAAATGAAATAAAAAAGAAGACTTTCTTGAAAGTATTGATGAAGAGATGAATTTTTTAGGGCATTCTAAAAGCAATCCACCAATCAATTATTGTGATATACATGTACCATTTTGATGTGTAAATTATAATTTTTTATTTTTCTTGGCATTTTGAAACTTTACCAGGAAAAGAGTCAGCAAAAAAAAACCAGAGGGAAAAGTCAGGGAACTTTTCTCATGATAATGATGATGATCCACAGCACTTGTTTGGCGCCATTTATATGTTTCAATCATGAATTGTTGGAAAACCATGTAGTGACGTGACTTACTGTCGTTGTTTTCAGACCCCCATGCAGAGACTCGTGAGACGCATGACAAGGTTCTTCACAAGCTGCGGCTGTGAGAAAACACTGAAGGTCCTTACAACTACATTGGATAAACTCCCCATCTACTCATGGAAGAAGAGCTGTCGAAATCAGGTAGATTCCATGTCTCTGTCATTCTATCTGCCTGTCCCTCCTTCTCTCTCTCTGTCTTCCTTCTTAAAGCTCTATCTCTCTCTTTCTTCCTTCTTAGAGCTCTCTCTCTCTCTCTCTCTCTCTCTCCCTCTCTTTTTATCCTTCCTTCTTAGAGCTCTCTGTCTCTCTCTCTCTGTGTGTCTCTCCCTCTCTTTCTTCCTTCTTAGAGCTCTCTCTCTCTCTCTCTGTGTCTCTCCCTCTCTTTCTTCCTTCTTAGAGCTCTCTCTCTCTCTGTCTCTCCCTCTCTTTTTATCCTTCCTGCTTAGAGCTCTCTCTCTCTCTGTCTCTCCCTCTCTTTCTTCCTTCTTAGAGCTCTCTCTCTCTCTGTCTCTCCCTCTCTTTTTATCCTTCCTGCTTAGAGCTCTCTCTCTCTCTGTCTCTCCCTCTCTTTCTTCCTTCTTAGAGCTCTCTCTCTCTCTGTCTCTCCCTCTCTTTCTTCCTTCTTAGAGCTCTCTCTCTCTCTGTCTCTCCCTCTCTTTTTATCCTTCCTGCTTAGAGCTCTCTCTCTCTCTGTCTCTCCCTCTCTTTCTTCCTTCTTAGAGCTCTCTCTCTCTCTCTCTCTCTCTGTCTCTCCCTCTCTTTCTTCCTTCTTAGAGCTCTCTCTCTCTCTCTCCCTCTCTTTCTTCCTTCTTAGAGCTCTCTCTCTCTCTCTCTCTCTGTCTCTCCCTCTCTTTCTTCCTTCTTAGAGCTCTCTCTCTCTCTCTCTCTCTCTGTCTCTCCCTCTCTTTCTTCCTTCTTAGAGTTCTCTCTCTCTCTCTCTGTCTCTCCCTCTCTTTCTTCCTTCTTAGAGCTCTCTCTCTCTCTCTCTCTCCCTCTCTTTCTTCCTTCTTAGAGCTCTCTTTCTCTCTCTGTGTGTCTCTCCCTCTCTTTTTATCCTTCCTTCTTAGAGCTCTCTCTCTCTCTCTGTCTCTGCCTTCTCTCCCTCTCTTTTTTTCCTTCCTTCTTAGGGCTCTCTCTCTCTCTCTCTCTCTCTTCCCCTCTCTCTGTCTATCCCTCTCTTTTTTTCCTTCCTTCTTAGAGCTCTCTCTCTGTGTCTCTCCCTCTCTTTCTTCCTTCTTAGAGCTCTCTCTCTCTCTCTGTCTCTCCCTCTCTTTCTTCCTTCTTAGAGCTCTCTCTCTCTCTCTCTCTCTCTGTCTCTCTCTCTCTCTTTCTTCCTTCTTAGAGTCTCTCTCTCTCTCTCTCTCTCCCTCACTTTTTATCCTTCCTTCTTAGAGCTCTCTCTCTCTCTCTCTGCCTTCTCTCCCTCTCTTTTTTTCCTTCCTTCTTAGGGCTCTCTCTCTCTCTCTCTTCCCCTCTCTCTGTCTATCCCTCTCTTTTTTCCTTCCTTCTAATAGGGCTCTCTCTCTCTCTCTTCCCCTCTCTCTCTCTCTCTCTTCCCCTCTCTCTGTCTGTCTATCCCTCTCTTTTTCTTTCTTCTGAGGGCTCTCTCTCTCTGTCTGTCTCTCCCTCGCTCTTTCTTTCTTCTTAGAGCTCTCTCTCTCTCTCTCTCTCTCTCTCTCCCTCTCGTCCTCTGTCTCCCTCTCTAACTATCTATATTACTCTGAAGTTCTTTACAAACTGGCTGTGAGAAAACACTGAAGGTCCTTACAACTACATTGGATAAACTCCCCATCTACTTGTGGAAGAAAAGCCGTCTCAATCAGGTAAGTTCCCCGTCTCTGTAATAATTCTATCTGTGTCTCTGGGAACTTGGTCGGATTTATTCCTTGGATGGACCTAGTGCTACGGTTGCCAGAGATAAAGACGGAGTAGTACTTTTATTCAAAGTCGTTTGGTAGTCCACAGAGGCGTTGAAATGTGATATGCATTATACAGGAATGCATATTACAGTCAAACCTGTCTATAGCGACCGCCCAAGGGAAACCCCAAAAGTAGTCTTTGTAGACAGGTACCTTTAGTACATGTTTCAATGAGAAACAATTTTCCAAGGGAAACAAAAAATGTGGTCTTTGAAGACAGGTGGTCACTAAAGTAGGTTTGACTGTATTATTATTATGTTATTGTATGCAGTGACTTATTAGACCATCTTTCTTTCTTCACAGGTGACAATATCTACTCTAGATAAGCGTAAGAACCAACTCACTTTCAAGGCCAACCTGCTTGAAATGGATCAGAAAGTACTAGTAGACTTCAGACTGTCAAAGGTAAACTTCCTCCAGAGCTTTCATAAATTGACAGAACTTAAGGGTAGCTTCCATTAGCCTAAAGCTGTTCAGAGCATTCTTGAGATCTAAATGAATCGGGTTTTTATCCTCAAATTAGCAACGATTACTCATATTATCCCCTCTTTCATAGTTTAAAATAATGAAAATGTATGTGATATGGACCAGTGTGAATAGAAATGTTGCCAATTTGTACACAAATAAACTTCACTCCGCATTGCCAATTGAGAGACTGTAATGATAACCTACAAGTCAGTGGTTCTTATCCACTAACAACACAACATGCTGCAATGCAATGAACTCAAATTTTAAACTGCTTTTAGTCCTTTCTGCTCATGTACAATTTATAATTCAGAGCATTCTGAATCAAAAGATGTAAGTATAACTTTACTAAAAGGTGATGCCAAACTGCTATGGGCTAGGACTAAAGCCTACAGTACACTATTCGATCAGATTTTAGAAGAATTTGCAATAGCATTTGATATTAATATCAAACTTATAAAGTCTCAATGACTGAGGATCTGAATAGTCATACGATTAAGGAAAAGGAAATCTAATTCTCCAGGGATGTCATGCTTCCATGGAGGAGGAAAAACTATAAGTTGGCTCATAATCGTAGTGACGTCACACGAGTAGTGCGGTTGTCTAAGATTTGATGCCGATTCAGCTTTTATTCTTACAAGGAGAGTCAAATGCTCTGAAAGTCTGGTCGTAGATATTTTTAATCAATATTTAGAACCTAAATCAGGAAGGTGGTGTTTGTTTAGTTTTCAGCATCTAATATAAATGCCTTTTTTTTAAAAAACGGGATGATAGATGGATCGTTCTAATCCCTCTCTCTCTCAACCCTCCCCCCCCCCCCCCCGTCTCTCTTAACCTCTCTCTTTCTCGCTCCCTCCCCCGTCCCCCTCTCTCTCACTCTCTCCCTCTTTTCCCCTCTCTCAACCTCCCTCTCTTTCTCACTCTCTCTTCCTTCCCCTCTCTCTGTGCCTCCTTCCCTCTTTCGCCCTCTCTCTTGCTCTTCCTCTCTCTCTCTCTCTCTCTCTCTCTCTCCCTTTCTCCCCCTCTCTCTCTCTCTCCTCCCCCCCCCCCCTCTCCCCCTCCCCCTTTCTCTCTCCCTCCCCCTTTCTCTCTCTGTCTCTGTAGGGTGACGGTCTGGAGTTCAAGAAGCACTTCGTGAAGATCAAGGATAAGCTTCCACCCATCATTGTCAAAGGGCCTCCTCTGATGCCACTATGACCTTTAACCTCTACCACACATCTGGGACTATCCACTGTAATCTCACCGATGCAAATTTGAACTTCCTCCGTGCCTTGGATAGCACTAGGACAAAAGCTAGTCTTGTTTAGGCAAGGCCAAACGAACGAGACCACTCTGAACTTGTAACGATCCTCTGATTGCCTTGCGTCCATCTCTGCTCCTTGTCAGAAACAAACTAGACCTCCACTCGAGCCGTTCTGAACTTGTTCCAACTTTGTGGATTCAAGAGGACCACCTCTTCCCAATACAGTGAAATCTGTATATAAAGAACTTTCAGGGAAACATGAAACATAGTCTTTATTGGCAGTATATACAGATTCCTTCAGTACAGGATTCAATGAAGAACAATATTCAAGGAAAACAAAAAATGTCTCCTTAATAGACAGATAGTCTTTCTATACAGGTGGTCGCTATAGCAAATTTGACTATCTGGGACCAAATGGTACCATACCAATGTCATTTTTAACTTCCTCAGAAACAAATTCCATGGATTCATCAAAAATCTCAAGGAATGGCTCAGTTCTTGGCATCATCATTCCTTCTTTAAAGTTATACATGTTTGTATGTGCTCATTATCAAAGTTAATTTACACAAGATTTCCTTGTTACCGTAATTGTTACTTTTGCAAAAAGTCGCATTTTTTTCCGAAAAGAAGAAATTAGTGTTTGTATGTTTGTGTCTCTGTCATGGTGCTTTGCGAATTGTATGCTTGTTATTATGATTTTTGTCTTTGACCAAGTATTCCTGTCTGGTTTTATTTCATCCAAAAATATAAACAAATCTCTTGACAGCACCATAGTCTAGTGATACAAGAAAGAATGATTATTCAGTAGATATCAAGAGACATTCATTTTGGAATGAAATGAAGGATAATTGTCTCACATGTACACTGTATGTCATATGGGACATGTTGCGCGGAATTGCCTTTTTTGTTTGTTTTGTCGTTATAAAAATGTGCCAAAATATATATGTTGCCTTGTTGAAGTTTCCTTAATCCTAAACATTACATTTGAGATATAATCATGGTTTTCCTAGATTTTCTCACAATGTCTGTATAGATCAATGCAAATAATGAGGGAAATACTTTAGATTAGAAGATTACTTTATACCGGTGTAAACCTAGTTAAGATCATTTTTTTAGAGACGCACAATTGGATTGAAATTCAGGACTTGCATGATGGAAAAGGGACATTAAAGTCAATATGAATTTGAATTCCTATGATGGTTAAGGACCAGGAGTAAGGATCATTCGAGTTACATGTATAGAACTGCACTGCTATTTTGCCAAAAGTGTGTGTTATTGTATGCGTAGCAGATAAATTGTAAAGGGGTTATGTTTATGTTTATGTTTAGATTTTTGTCTCAAGTTGAAGTACAGCATTCAGTTAGCGTATGATATTATCGTAGGGCAATTTTCGCAGAAACACTGAATGGATTGTTTACATATTGCTCATTTAACCCACTGAGTAATTAAAACCAAGACGGTCCTTTCATTCGTACCCTCGTCGTGTGTGTTTTGGGAATCACACGATTGGTGGAGACATGGCGATCTGTGTGGTATGCATGTTGGAGAGAGGGAAAAGATGAATTTAGACAAATTAAAAAATATGTAAGAACAGACAAAATCTGGACTAGACAAAAATTAAGCCTTGAGCAATCGTCACGGGAGCACATGTCTGGCATATTTTGTTAAAACACCTCTTTTTGAGAATTGACACATGTAATGTGGTATATGCTTTTTTGTCTGGTCTTGTGTAACAGTACAGTTTTGACATCACCTTGGCCAAATTTTTTAACCGTGCTCCTCAAAAGCAGTCGATATATATATGCTATGTAATTTAAGTAAACAATGCAGAAAAAATTGCCAAGCAGTATTATGGAACTATGGTTTCCTTTACATCACTGTAGTATAAATGTTATCATGTATAGCTAGACATTGTAGTTTATTCCTAAATACATGCAGTACTAAAATAGATAGGTAGTTTTTTAAGTACACACATGGTCATGTACCACATAGTTAAAGTACTAAACTTAATGTATTACTGGTATGAATGACTCTTTGTCTCAAATGTCTGTGTGAAAGTGGACTCTAAATAATTTGGTAAAAAGTACATGCTGTTCATACAGCAACTAGATTATTCATAACTCTTATAAAATTGGTGCTTTTGTGTATTTTGTTACTCAAGAATGAAAGGTGAACTGGTTGAATTAGGGCCTTTGTTGAATAACGGTACTTTAAGATGACAGTATTATCTCCTTCTCAAGATACATAAGTCGGGATAAATCACCTTTTTAATATATTATACTTTAAAATTCCAAAACTTGGTAAGGGTATGAATAATTTAGTTGATAACTGTATACCATACATGTACTTATAATGTAAAACTAGAGACATTTGTGTCATGATCATGAAACAGCTATGAATGACTGGATGGCTATTTGCAGGGGCAGATCCAGGGGGGGGGGCCCTTTTTCATTCCGGAAAAAAAGCTAAGATATATTCACATAAATGTTCAGTTTAGGCATTCAGAAATGACTCTGATGGAACCATAGAGCATCCATAAAAAAAAAAGTTTTGGAATCAGAATCACCTTATGAAATTTGCACAAGATTCATGGACAGCAAAGTTTAAAGATTCAAGGTATTTGTGTTGATGTCTTCATGTTTTTTTTTTCTGGAGTTTTTTGGGAAAATTATATTTTCATTGTTGTAAGAATAGCAGAAAACTGCTCTATAAACACGTTTAAAAATTGTAAGTGCACAAATCGTTTAGTCTACTCAGACTTGGCTGCAAATACAAATTTATTTTGTCACTTTACTCAAGTCTTGACTGGTTCTCATTTCATTTGTAAACTGTCTTCACAAATCAGCCATAAAGCGGTCCATTGCTCTGGACCTTTTAAAGGTAAACACCAGTATTGGAAACGTCCCAATTTCAAAAATAAAATGAAAGCTCTTTATTACCAATCATGTGAAAGAATGTTTTGACCAATACATGATGATAAAATTTTGCCGGGAAACCGCCTACTAATTGATACATTTGGTAAATTAGTTTATCTATTGGACTGTGAGAGAAAAACGCATGTGTCACGGACGTGTGCGTAGTCCCATATACATCTTGCTGTGTACAGTGCTTGTAACTTTACGAAGACTGGGCCAAATTTCTTATCATTTTGATGATTCCAGAAGTTGCAGTACACGCCAATAGTAGACTTCTAGATCTACTTATAGACCTATGCTAGATGATCAACCTTTTCTGATCGATTTCACATTTCTTTCACAATCACATGACCAAAGGTCCAATTGGTCTTAAAGGCACACTGCCATACTTGTAGCTACTTGCTCCCTCTATATAGAAAACTTCCCCAATCGGTGCCTGTTGGTCCCCCATGATCCTCTTTTTCCTATGTTAAATGAGAGCTGAGTTAATGAGATAGCCACCTGTCGCAGTGACCTCGATGGCTCGCTGTGTGGTCTAATCCCTTCTTGCCCAGTAGTGGCGACGGTCTTTAATATAAGGTAATGGTGGTGGTCTTCTTCTATATACTCTCCTTTACTGCAACTCCATTCATTTCTTTCTTGAGCTCTTTTTATCATTTGGTTCAGGTATGTACCGGTAGAGGTCTAGTTTACTCAACATTTAGTTTCATTCCAATCCCTCCACCCCCTCCCCGCGCCCCCACTGTTATTTAGGGTAGGCCTACACTAATGCTCGTCCCTACCTTTGATAGCACCCCCCTCCCCTCCCCTCCTCTTCCCCTCCTCTTCCCCTTGACTTGTAAAACTTTGTTCCCTTTTTTCAGATTAAGAACCACAAAAAGTAGCATGCACCGAATGTAGTCCAACACTTATAAACAAAAACATTCATTCATTATAGGTCTAGCCTCTAGACTAAAGGCTTATAAAAAGTACAAGATAACGAGAGCTTTTCAATTCATTCTTTCTTGGAAATGTGATGGCCCTGAAAAGGGCCGGGTTAGATGGTGGGCACAGGAAGAATTTAATATTCCTGGCTCTGGCTGCTCTTTCCACTCTTCTTGGCAGCAGCAGACTTCTTGGGGAGAAGGACGGCCTGGATGTTGGGCAGCACACCTCCCTGTGCGATGGTCACTCCGCTGAGAAGCTTGTTCAACTCCTCGTCATTACGGACAGCAAGCTGCAAGTGACGGGGGATGATGCGGGACTTCTTGTTGTCGCGTGCGGCGTTGCCAGCCAGCTCGAGGATCTCAGCTGCCAAGTACTCGAGCACGGCAGCCAGGTAGACTGGGGCTCCAGCTCCAACACGAGCTGCGTAGTTTCCCTTGCGAAGGAAACGATGAACACGACCAACTGGGAACTGAAGTCCTGCTCGGGCTGATCGGCTTTTGGCCTTGCTTCGTGCTTTTCCGCCTTTTCCTCCGCGTCCAGACATGTTGAGTTATTGAAGATTGCGTGTAGATACAAAGACGTAAAAATTGGTGAACTGAATAATTTTCGACCGTGACAAGGTATTTATACCGCAAACGGGGATCCAACGACAACCAATCAGATTGCTCGATAGCCAATTAGTTTAATGCAATGCGAATGCAGTGACTCACCGGCACGACGGCACGGCCGCCAATATCTTTAAATAAAGAAGGCGGGCATGATTCCTCCGACGTCCGCTTAAGAAAGCAACTGACGTATTCATGACGAAAGATGGCGATATATTTTGTGTTAGTTCAAAAGTCAAATTTGTCGTCTGCTAAGTTCTCATGAATAGTCTCCGATAGCTGCCTAGAATTCTAGGCCTAAATTGAATATATTCACTTTTGATATAGTCTTATGGCTTTTAAACATTTTTTAGGGTATAATATTTAAGAAATATTCCCAAGAAATACTCTTTTACTTTTTAGGCAGAGGACCACCTTTCAGCAATTGCCATCTAATTTTTTCCTATTAAAAACTAAACAAAATCATAAGTAGTACCCCATGCAACATCGAAATATAGATCTTTGGCGTACTGCCTATAGTAAATAAAAATCTCTGATATATGATAACGAATAACCGATGCAAGCACTATATACAGAAGCGGATCTAGAGGGGGGGGGTTGGGGGGTTGCAACCCCCCCAAAAAAAAATCCGGGACCATTTTTTAAAATCTTATCTTTTTTTTTAAACTTGTAATTTTATTTTATTCTATTTCTATGTATTTATTTCATTTATTATTATTATTATTATTATTATTATTATTATTATTATTATTATTATTATTATTATTATTATTATTTCTTTTTGGGGGGAGGGGGGGGGGGGTGGGCGAACAAATGTCACAGAGTCCCTTGCCCCCCCCCCCCCCCCCCCCCCCCCATCAGCTTTTTTGAGGACACGGGCCACCGCGTTGCCGATTCTCATCCCCAAAATCCCCACATTAAAAAAAAATAAAAAATGGGGGATTGTTGAAGTCTTTGGGATGAAAAATAAATATTTGGGAATGAAAATAATATTGAGTTTTATGAAAAACGAATTTGGGGATTTTCTGTCAAAATTTGGCAACTTTGGGGATATTTTAAGTGTCGTTTGGGTGGGGATTTTGTGAAGATTTAACCTGGCAACGCACGCTGAGCTGGGCTGCTCATTTCCTGGATTACTTGTTCAAGTTGCTCACTTTTTTATCAGTCTGGTCTGAGTGTAGTGACAAGCAATATGGAAGCAAACAGGGCAAAGAAGTTGCGGCAATCCAGTCTCGCATCATTATTGGTCAACCCCCCCCCCCCCCCCCTTAGCAAAAAGCTAGATCCGCCCCTGATATACTATACTGACAATCAAGATTTTATTGGGTGTCGATCGGCTCCTTGGTATATAGATCTTGTATAATCTAACTACATTAAAAATATATATATAGAAATCAGACAACTAAATATTTTGAGAGAGCCGTGTGAAAATCTATTATTCAATGCGAAAAATCATTGCTTCGTATATATGCATCCCCCTCTTTTCGCCTGCCACCCTGCCAGATTAATCTGCCGGGGGCTTCCCTTAATATTGTAGCTATGGGAGTATTTTCAGTTATTCGGATTTGCCGGCTCAGTGTTTCACATTTATTTATTGGAATTTATGCAGCATAAACTATTTTCTAAATCACGGACAAGAGAGCCGCGTTAATGTCGGGACCATGCACCATAGTCATTGGACTTGGAGTGTGATTTAATTAGTACTGCGCTGAAGTCCAGCTCTGAAAATGGTCGAGCGCCATCTCTTGTGAAAAGTATTATGGTGCAAGTCTAATTTGACACATTTGAAGTTCCCATATTCCGTACTGCACGTTCTTTTGGGCTACCTACATCTGCCAAACAAATAAACACATGATAATGATGTAGAAGAAGAAAAAGAAGAAGAAGAAGGAAAAGAAGAAGAAGAAGAAGTAAAAGGAGAAGAAGAAGGAGAAAGAAAGAAGAGGAAGAAGAAAAAGAAGAAGAAGAGGAAGAAGAAGGAAAATAAGAAGAAGAAGAAGTAACTGAGGAGAAGAAGGAGAAAGAAAGAAGAGGAAGAAGAAAAAGAAGGAGAAGAGGAAGAAGAAGAAGGAAAATAAGAAGAAGAAGAAGTAAAAGGAGAAGAAGAAGGAGAAAGAAAGAAGAGGAAGAAGAAAAAGAAGAAGAAGAAGAGGAAGAAGAAGAAGGAAAAAAAGAGGAAGAAGAAGAAAAAGAAGTTGAAAACAAGGAGTCATCGATGGAATTTTTAAGCAATAATTATATGGACTTCTTTTCTCAAAAAGTCAAAGGGCTTGCGTGGATCATGGGGGGGGGGGGGGGGGGGGGGGGGGGGGGTGTGCTGCAGCCAATAGTGAGGCACCCGTCTGCTTTATTGTGAGCCAAGCTAGGGGTCGTCTCTAACTGATTTTTATTACATCTTGCCTTACATTCAAATCATAAATGGATTAAGTGGCACCACAATTTTTGTTGCTTGCATGACATTTTCATTCATAATTACTCATTCATATTTCTGAACTGGTTTATTGTCTTTTCTTTGGCTCTCTCCATGAATATGTCCTTATTTTTTATAATAATCATTTATCATTCTTTCTATTAATCAATTATTATTTTCCTTTTTTTCTCTCTTTACCTCAGTCTCTTTCGCTTCATTCATTTCTCAATCTTGAAAATAAAAAATGCATGTAAAGAAATCTTCAGTTTCTTTCAAAGGTATATTTCATTACAACAACATAATGAATATTCATGTAAATCCTAATGAATATTCATTTAAAAATAATGAATAATCATGTGAATCTATAAACGAGTAACAAGGTACAATTACAAATCAAGGCAGCTGTATTCTTTGGCAAATATGTTCCAGTTTTGGTGGGTCCGAACTGGGCCCCATTTCACAAAACGTGTCATCAGTGACAAATCAGCAAATTTGTCACTGGTTTTTGTCATTTGCCATTGAAAAAGGCTTTGTGAAAGTGGTCCATGAAGTGCTGAATTTGTGCCTAATCAAATAGCGGCAGCAGTTTATGATATGAAGTATTAGACAAAATATCAAAATATAATGAAATCATGTCTACTTTCTGAGTAACTGTCATCAATGATTTAAAATAGGGACAAAGAGTTGAAACATGGAAAATATTGTGGACACTTGTTTTGCCAAAATAATACACACCCTTTTCAAAGTATAACTTAGGAAAATAGCTATGAAAAAGAATTTTCACTTTTTAATTGATTGGGGATAAAAGAACAAAGAATCTACAGTTTTTCACTTATGTGAGACAAAAATAAAAAATACATTAATATTTTTCAAAGAATAACATTGATAGGATAGCACCGAAAACATTTGGCACAAGACGACGGCTAAATAGACAATTTTTGTAATGTAACCAAATCTAATGCATAAGTCTTTGTGAAGTGCCCCGATACACATTATGTCATTCATCCATTACAAATTATTGTATTCCAATGGTCAGAATGCAAATTGCATACATTAGTTTTTGCCAGGTAGGACAGACATTATGGCTTGTCCTACCTAACGACACGTAATATGCATTTTGCATTGTGACTATTGAAATGCAATTGTTCATAACAATATGAAATATTTGTATTGAGGCACTTCACAAAGACGTATGCATTAAATTTGGTTACGGTAGGAAAATTGTCTTTTAGCAGTCTATTAGGGTACCGGTGGTTGATTATTGCTACATGCTAATTAACTAAATACATGATAACATAAACATATTTACATTGGTCCAAAAATTATACATGTTTTAAAAGTAACACAAACATATATAGCCATACAAATTCATGAACTCGCAGATACTGTACTAAAAACATGTTTCAAATAGATACCGGGTAGTTCCAATTTTCTGTGATTTTCAAATTTCATTGAAGATAAATGATGCAGAGACCTGCACATACAAACATGTAAAAAAAGAACATTTAAATAAGTGCATTTCATGTATTACATGTGGTACATTTGCGTATTTTCCTCAAAAAACTAAAATTATTGTAAATTCATGGTTTTACATAATCATAGACTCATTGCATACTATGCATAAATACATTGACACAATATGGCGACTACTGCTTTGTTGGGCAAGCACAAAACAAAAGAATATACGCCATGTTGTGACCCAGTGAAACCAAATGGGCCAAACTCTGTGTATAGATGGCTTTGACTGTAAAGCCATACTGTAATAAAAGCATTCTTTAGCCATCTCAGGCTATCTGTAGCAGTATGGTCCGAAACTGAGCTGTTGTTTCTCACTTCGAGTCCTCTGTCTACAAAGTGGACATTAGTAATCTGGTTACGCACTGTTGGCAAGTTGACCATGAGATGGCGCCGTGCAATAAACAGTACGCTAGGGCTGACAGATCATCTGTTCAGTATCGCTTTAACACTAAGAATTTCCATAACACTGCCTACAATGAATAAGATAGCTATTAATTACATATATGAAATGATATAAATGAGGCTTTTCCATTGAAATAATGGTCTGTTCCTTTGATATATTCTCTTTTTGGCAAGTACAGTCAAACCTGTCTATAGTGGCCATGCATTTCATCTTCCTGGAGAGAGAAATGTGTGTTGTAGAACCTGTCTATGAAGGCCACATGTCTAAAGTGGCCACTTTCTCTGTTTGCCTTGGACAGTCTTAATAAACAGGTTTGACTGTGCTGGTATATTCACACAATAGCAACAATAAGGATTCAAGCGTTTCACCAAATCAACCACAAAATATATAACTATGGTAGATTCTTAATAGTAAATACCATAACTAATAACATGATAAAGATATGACAATACTTCATATATTTATACACCAAAAATGTATGACATAATTATAAATGATAACATAATACATACATCAAACTTTGTTATAAAAGATGGAATGACATGTTCATGGCTAATTGAAGGGGATATTTACATACAGGGCTCTATGTTTAACTCTTCTGACATAAGGCCTGTTGTATTTGACATACACGTATTTGGCATGTGGATGTAACAGTAGGAGCTAGGCCCTGGCTGTGAAAATTAGCTGAATATCATATTATTCATACATTTGAATATTTTTTTTTTTAAATCAAAGTGTTTATCCAAATAGAATGACATTGAGGGAAATTATAGACACATTTGGCCTCTTGTTCAGAAAAAGCCAAACTAAAACTGATTCTTTGTAAAATAAGAGTATATTTGGCTTTCCAAATGTTGGAAGCTTTCTCTTTAATGTTTAGACATGGTGCACTTGACAATTAACCCTATTTTAACTGGGCTATTTCAGACCAGGTTTTTACTGGGGGGGGGGGGGGGGGTCAAATCTCGGCCGTTTCACAACCGATCGCCCAAAAAATTTGCATGCATGTCAAGTGAAGAGTATAGAATACTATGGTAATTTCAATTTTTTTTTGAAAAATTTGCTCAATTGCATATTTATGGTAATTTATGCAAATAAGGTCATAAAATTCACATTTTTACCCATAAATCATATATAATTCATATTTAAGCATTCTTTTTCACTATATATATATTTGTTAGACCGTTTGGAATAATAATACAACGAAAATTGGAAGAGCCAGGTTATTCCTTATGTTATCTATTGTTTAGATAATTTCTCATGTATTTCATTGTTTTTTTAATTTATGTATTTTAGTGTTTTTCGTTGTTTTTACTTCATTTCTAACTACAATTCAACTAATTTGACCCCAAAACAAACACCTAAACTTTAAACAAGACCAAATAACCAATGTTTTTTCTCTTTTTAGGAAAAATGATATTTCCATGTGTTTTGAAATGACAAATTTTCGGGCTGACATGCAAAAGTTCATGTGACTTTGTAACTATATGTCTGATTTTCAAAAAAAATTGTTTTAAAAGATGCGTAAGACTCGAAAGAAAAAAGTAACGAAAGGAATACTTTATATCTGCCGCGGTTCCGGAGTAGTTGCTAAATTGACCCCCCCCCCCCCAGTTAACATAGGGTTAAAGGGGAATCCTCAACTCCCTTAACTCCCTCAATGATTTCATAAGATCTATATAGACACCAATATAATTTGTTGCTTACATTTTATTGGCTCCAAAACTATCATTTCTATAGGACAGTTCTTGACCCATTGCATTTGTATGGGAACCAGAAGTGCCTTTGCCAAATATGCCCCTGGCCGGTGCTGCCCTCTACACAGCGTTGCCAATTGGCATTTAATTGATTATAACTGTATTATTCTTTTCTCAAAGCCCGGATCTTTTTGTCTCATTTTTCAGTTCTTTTAACCAATAGCAGTACAGTGTCTCCTTTTAATGATATTTTTTGGGCATTATCTTTCGCAATTTCCTTTCACATTGTTTTTTTATATGAAACATTTTTAATTATGTTAAAACTATGAAGGAGTGGAAAATAAGATTAATCGCTGCCAATTTGAGGAGGGAAAACTGAATAATTAAAAAAAATTGAAAATTGAAATATTGTGGGTTAAAGGTAAAGACCAGTATTGGAAACGCCCCAATTTCAAAAAATGAAATGGAAGCTCTTATTACCAATCATGTGAAAGAATATGTTTTGACTAATACATGACAAAAATTTTGCCGGGAAACCGCCTACTAATTGATATATTTGGTAAATTAGTTTATCTACATGGTCTGTGAGAGATAAACGCACGTGTCACGCACGTGTGCGTATAGTCTCATATACATCTTTCTGTGTACAGTGCTTGTAACTTTATGAAGACTGGGCCAAATTTCTTATCATTTTGATGATTCAAGAACCTTGCAGTACACAACAATACTTATATGCTAGATGATCAACCTTTTCTGATCGATTCCACAACGTTTCTTTCACAATGCAATCGCATGACCATAACTGGTCTTTACCTTTAATAAAACCAACTTGTTTCCAGTTCGATTTTCAAACAAATCTTAGATGTGACAGAGAAAGGGTGATATTTCATACATTGGTAGCCAGTCTATCTTTAGAATCGTACGAAACTTCTGAATCCTTATCGGAATCATGCTCGTAACCGTACGGATCATCACGGTCGCGGTACTCTCCGTTTCCCTCCGGTTTATAGCGCGTGTAAGGCGGGTCGCAGAAGTCCCGCGGATCCACGTAATCCTCGTGATCGCTATGACGACTACGCTGGCTGCGGATACTGCGATCGTGGTAGATGGGTTCAGGTTTAGCGTCTTCAAATTTGGAGTACTGATTGTCGTGCCTAGCGTACGGGTCGTCGTCATTGTAAGGTTCGCGACGGTTGTCGTAGTCGTCTTCCCAAGGAGGAGGAGGACGCTGTGTGAAAATGAAAGGAAATATTGATTTGAACACGTCCAAATTATAATTATTATTATCATTTATATGACCAATCGGACATCATACAATGAGTATAAAAATCAGATAATACATAGACATTTCATAATACATTCAAACAGCTTTAGGAAAGCTGAGAGGAGAGAGAGAAGGATACAATCTGCTGGTCAGGGGTGACAAATGCAATTGAAATTGCTATTACTCGAAAGCATGTCACCCCTCCCCCCCCCCCCCCTCCCCCCAAAGCATTAATTAGATTAAATGATGATTTTTAAATGTTATATTTCATGTGATTATTAGAAGAGATTTCTATAACAATTAAGAAAATTTTCAATCATACATTCACCCTAAATATAATTATTGCAAATATGTTTGTATACAACTGGATGAAACAAATCTATTCTATCATCAATGACTAAGAAAATGGAAGTTTATGACATTTTCTGTACAGAGCAAATTGGAGAGGACCTTGCAAGATATATCAGTGTTGCCAATTTGTGTTTCACTGATGACAACTTTAAAAACTCATAACTTTTCTATTTCTAATCGGATATCGCTCAGACTTTCACTAGTTTGTTTCTTTCTTTCTTTGTTCAGATTTTATTCAATATTGTTCTCCTTTAAGGGTTGGATTCAGTCTTCATTCAGCTATCACATAGCATTACCCATGTTCTTTTCATACGATGCATGTCAAGCAAATAACCACACTGTGCCACGATGTATGTACCATGGCACCATGAAGTTGTGTGATCTAATGTAAGTTAACATTTAATTTCTTTAATCCTAAGTATGTTGAATATTAATTTAAATTATTTTTATGTGCCTTGAGCATCTCTAGAGATGGATATGTTGCGCTTTATAAATATTGTTATTATTATTATTATTATTATTATTACCCGATCAAACTGATGAGGTTCCATGTATTCGTTAGACTGCCTGCGTCTGTACTGCGGATCCTCCCACGAATCACGCTTCCGATTGACGAACTCATGCGGCATGGCGTAGCGAGGTCGTGACCCCGAGCTATGAGGGGAGCCGTCGGGTTCGTCACCTGTCTTCTTTCCCTTGTTGAGGGCGTCCTTTAGAGACATAACTTGGGGGATGATCTCAACAGGGATGGCTTCTTTACTTGCGTGATCCACTTGAGCTTTATCTGTTGATATTCAAAGGTATAAGGGACCAAGTAAAGATAACTAAAAATAATCTATACAACAAATGAAGAGTTGGTCGTTATTTATCACAGGCTGAAACAATAGAAATACTTGTAAGTAAACAATTTTTTTCATGAATATGTATGGCTAAAATAGAGATGAAATAATCTTTTTCTTCGCATGTTTTGTTTCATTACAATCGCATAGTAATGTGTATGCGCCACAAAAATGTATACAAAAATACTTTACTGTTCGCAAAAGCTCTTTTAGGATTTGGTGTTGTAGTGCAATTCTCTCACAGTGATAGTTAATAACGTATTTTATCATTTTACACTGAAGCTCTATTTCACTTTCCCAGGGCACTTTGAGAGTTTTTTTCGAGAGCTAGTACATGCTCCCTGTACTTTTTTTGTTTACTGGTACTATATGTGCAGACAACTGCAGAAATAGGCACTCAAGCCGTTTATAGATTAATCATGTTTCTTTTACTCTGAATCACAGGAGCCAGTCTAATATACATTGTATATAAATTTAACAATGTGTTTTATCTGTATAATTATATTGATGATTGTAGTTAAACAACTTTTTTAAAATCAATTGCATATATTGCCAAGTAATTTGAATTTAATTGTTCAACTTTATCTTGTATATACTGTATACATGTGCAATTCAGCATATTGCTGTAGACCATGTCGTTTAAAGCCCCATTGCACTACTTATAGCTACATGCGCCCTCTATATATCAAACAATGCCTAATCGGTGACCATTGGTCCCCCATGATCCTCTTTTTCTTATGTTAATTGAGAGCTGATTTGATGAGATAACCACCTGTCAGTTACAACGCTGGGTGGTCTAATCCCTCCTAGCCAGACCATTTTTAAATTTTCAAATTAAATCACTCACTCTTCCTAAGCCTCCTCCTGCAGTATGCCATGAAGATGATGGTCATGACGAAGATAAATCCAGACGCTGCTACTACTCCTATGATGATGTAGATGATCCGATCCATACCTGGTGTGTCATTAAAAAGGGAGAACAAATTGATACGTTTGATATGAAGGTGATATTTTGTAGCAACTTACTCATATATCTCAATATATCTTATATATATCTTACTATATATCTCAAACATGATTGTAATATTCACTTATATATATATATATATGATTATAAATGATTGTAATATGCACTCAATTCACAATACATGTGTATTAAAAAATAAATGTGGTCATTTCTACACATTTACAACATTCTATGTCAAGTATGATTGCAATATTCATTTAAACAGGTTCATTCACTGCACAATGTATATGTATTTTTTTTGTTTATGTGGTAATTTCTTCAGATCCATACCTGATGTTTCATTGAAGGGTAGAAAAATGCAAGGAAATACATGTTTTTGAAAGTATGAAGGGGGGTATTTCATAGCAATTTACTTAATATTTCAACTTTCAAGAGAAGACAGTCAACCCTTTCTTAGTCGTGTCTACTCCTCAAAGGTCACTTATCTATAGTGACCATGTATTTTTTGTTCCTTTGTTCTTTTTTTGCGGTCTCCCTCGAGAATGACAGGTGCAATAAAAACCTGTCTAGAAAGGCCACCAAATGTTGCAGTTATTATCATCTTCACATCATTATCTTCATCATCTTTATGATCACTATCATTATCATCATTAACTAACCTTGTTGTTCCAACATGATAATCTTTGACTGGATACCGACATCGTTCCAAACGGTGCAGTTATAATCACCATAGTCTTCCTTCCGAACTCTCTTGATGTGGAGCAGACTTGTGATTCCTCCTGCCGCGGTCTCTACCTGCTCCGCTTCGAACCGACCTTCACTACCTAAAAATTGAAATATTATCTTGAAATCATCATCAAGTCTCATCAATGGGGACTGCCCTGACAGAACCTTTATTTGGTTCTTTTGCAATTTCCCATTTCATGTTCATTATCTATTTCTTGGCTGTAAACATGTTTATTTTTTACTCTTGTCTTTACATCTCTTTTTAAAAAAAAGGTGGAATTTGTGATTCCTTTTCTTAAAGACTCAACTTTTCCGGCTTTGAAAGGACCTTCACTCCCTAAAATTAAAAATATAATCTTGATATCAAAATCAACTCTTATCAATATATCATACCATATTGTGTTCATAACCGGTTTCACAAAAAAATAATTTGTGATTCCTTTTCTTAAAGATTCAACTTTCTCGGCTTTGAAAGGACCTTCACTCCCTAAAAATCAAAATATTATCTTGATACCGGTATTCACATCAACTCTCATATCATATCATTCTCTATCCTTTCAATACAAAACTAATAAATTGGAATTCCCTCCCACCATTTATTTGTGAAATTAACAACCTTGACCACTTCAAAGCTTTACTCAAAACTCACATCTTCCTATTTGGAGGAGCTCGTGCCTTTGAATGTTTTTTTTAAACAGATATATGGTGCCATACAAATGCAGTGAATCACCATCATCATCATCATCATCAAAATAGAAATTTACAAGAATTCTTGTTCCTGCTGCTGAGCACACCACATTTTGTTTCTTCTCTCACCTGTTTCCAACTCGATATCTTTCCAGCTCCACATTATGAGGTAGGGGTCGGGTTTAGTATCTGTACGGCATTCCAAGATAGCTGTGCTGCCAACCTTAGCTCTCTGGACAGACGGACTATCGATGACAGGTATAGCTAACAAGAAAAGCAATAAACAATGTTAATAAAACATAACATCTCTCTAGCTCTATATGATGAGCTAGAGGTCTGGTTTAGTATCTGTACGGCATTCCAAGATAGCTGTGCTGCCAACCTTAGCTCTCTGGACAGACGGACTATCAATGACAGGTATAGCTAACAAGAAAAGAAATAAACAATGTTAATAAAACATAACATCTTTCCTGCTCTATTATGATGAGCTAGGGGTCTGGTTTAGTATCTGTACAACATTCTAAAATAGCTGTGCTGATATCCATGATGGGTATGGCTATCATGAAGAGAGATAAAGAAACAACTTAATAATGTATTTATGAACTACACATACATTACATTAAAAAGTCAATCATTACAGCTTTTTACCATCTTTGATAAAGATAAGTGGCAAGTCCTTACTGTACAATCTAAACAAGCCTGTACAGGTACCAGCTGCAGATGAGAAAAAACAGGTTGTTAATGAGGAGTTAAAGACAAAGACAGCACCAGATGAACCAATGCACCAACTACAATGATATTCAAGAATCTTCTTCTTAGTGATTATATTCAGAATTAAGTGGGAGGAAGGCAAGTGAAAACTTTCATACAAACAAAGTTAATTTTTCCACTGATCGCGAAGAAGGAACCAATTTACTAGTAACCTCGTTTTTGTGAATCACATTGACCTTCTCATCATCTCTCATGAAGCCTGGGAGGGGGTAGCATGAGAGGAAGGGGGTAGTGGATATTATTGCCCTAAAACACCCATTTTCACGTCTTTATCTTTCAATCTCTCACCGTTTATATCCAGCCTGCCTATGGTCGTGATAGGCTCAAAGCCTGGTACGGTTACAGAGCAGACGTATACTCCTACGTCAGACCCCCGAACCGTATCAAACTGCAGGCGTTGCATGGTGCTAAGCGTCGCTCGGGACCCTAGGCGAGTCCATTTTGTCGTAGGGGTGGGGTTGCCATCGCCAATACACTCCATCTGGGCAGGACTACCTTCATCAACTGATATACTGATTGGTACCTCAACTAGTCGTGGACCATCTGTAAACCAAGAAATATCATTTGATGCGATTGGGATTTGATTTGATTACAATACAAAATTATTTTTCATGTATTTATTGCATATATACATGTGTGCTATAGCAAATTTTAATAATAAACAAGGGAAACGCTCTTGGCGGTCTCGCCTGCATAACGCAATTCAATATGATAAACCAGAACGTCAATGACGTAGCGCTCATCCGCATCTCACAACAACAAATATCGTAAATTTTATGTGGTACACTTTTGAACTGGTCAAAAAATAAAAATTTGATGCCCTGGAAGGGACATAATTTCATTTCATTTGCATAAAGTACCATAAATAATCAATGGAGCAAAATCTCACAATTCTGTGTAGAAGTTTATTGTTCCAAATTTAGCTCTACCAGATAAGGCAAAATCGGTCAAGAAATGAGGGAAAAGAAGCAATTTTTGTTATTTTTGGAATAAATTTGCATAAATTACCATAATTAATTAATGGAGAACAATTTCAAAATTCTGTGTAGATGTTTAGTGTACCAAAGTTAGCTCTACTATATAAAGCAAACCAAATCAAAATCGGTCGAGAAATGAAGGAGAAGAAGCCTTTTTTGTGATTTCGAATAAATTTGCATAAATTAGCATAGATAATGAATTTCACGATTCTGTGTAGAAATTTTAAATTCCCTCCTAGCTCTATCATATGAAACAATCAGAATCAAAATCAGTTGAAAAATAACGAAGAAGAAGCATTTTGAAAATCTTAATGTTGATGCCACAACAAAGTCTAAGTTTGTTGACCTTAAATGGCCTTTGACCTTAACTTAGTGACCTGAAATTCTACTCACATGATTGGGGAGACTTGATAACCCTATAGTCCAAGTTTCATTGACTAAGAACTTATACTTTCAAAATTATATCAAAAATTCAAAAACTTAACCTTAGGTTAAGTTTTCGATGATGATGCTACAACATAGTCCAAGTCTGTTGACCTGAAATGACCTTTGACCTTGACTTTGTGATCTGAAATTCTACTCACATGATTGGGGATACTTGATTACCCTATAGTCAAAGTTTAATTGACTAAGAACTTATACTTTAAAAATTATACCAAAAATTCAAAAACTTAACCTTAGGTTAAGTTTTTGATGTTGACGCCGTCGCCGTCGCCGTCGCCGTCGCCGTCGCCGCCGCCGTCACCGGAAAAGCGGCGCCTATGTCTCGCTTTTTGCTACGCAGGCGAGACAAAAAGGGTCTATAGCCATTCCCACCACCATCAACACTGTCGAAGTCACTGCCATCATCATCATTTCTTCTTATATTCCTCGTAACTCACATATTTCAAAACAAGTATCAAAGACCTTGCATCGCTGAATGTTTCAAAGGAAATGACGCCAGCATAGAAAACATGCAGTGATTAATCTTTATCTTTATTATCATCTTCATCTTCATCTCTTTCATTATTGTCACCATCATCTAATAATCATCATCACCATCTTCATCTTAATCATCATCATCATCATCACCACCATCATCATTATCATCATGGTCACCATCATCATCATCATAATTTGTTTACTTACATAATACATTGAGTTCCATGCTTCCTTCTGTAGTACCTATCGTGTTTGTTGCAGAACATTTAATAGTAGCTTTGTGATCTTCCTTGGTGACGAGGAGCTCCATCTGATTGCTTTCAACACCTGTAAGACAAAAAGATTAACGATAAGGTTGTGTTCTGGGAAGGTATTCCGCTTACGATTTTACCTCTAATATCTGTAAAATCAAATCAGTATTATGAAATGATATTTTATCTCAGATCTTATCTTTCATTTTTTATCTCTAGCACATAATACGCACTACTTAAACGCTGGCACAAATTGTATGTGAAAGGTAAAATCATATTTAGTTTTTTTTTTACAACTCAAGATGCACAGGAAAAGCAACAACTTTTGAAAAGTATGGTCCGAGTCGTGTGATCGAAATAAAAAAATTAAACAAGATGGAACTTTGTCTGCACGCAGTCGAAAATGATGCCTCTGCCCTAGAGCAATTTTACAAACCAAAACAGAAACAATTTGTAAAATTCAAGTTTGATTGTAATCCATCTGTCGGTTTTAATGATAATGCATGCACAAGCTATTTATAGGCATCCTTAATGAGCCCCATGACCTTCGACCTTCTGACCCAAAAATCTATTAGTTCATTGGCTGTGTAAGATACATACATGAATCTAGTTTGGCAGGAATCCATCAATCAATTTCTGAGATAACGCGATAATAAGCTATTTTTGCATACATAATGAGCCCTGTGATCTTTGACCTTGGATCTTGTGACCCCAAAATCTACTCAGTTCATTGGCTCTGCGAGATACATACATGACCCAAGTGTGGCGGGAACCAATCAATCGGTTCTTGAGATAACGCGATCACGAGAACGGGACGTACGGACGGACGGACAACCCAAAAACATAATGCCTCCGACTACTTTGTAGAGGAGGCATAAAAACACTGAGTACATTTCTAAAGCAACATTATCGTAGAGTTATCGAGTTGTATTTCACGACTTTAATATGCCAACTAATAAGCCAGTAATTTTTCAAGGAAACCCCAGCAAATGTTAATTGCGCTCTCTCTTCTTTCTTTCTCCTCCTCGATTCCTCACCCTTATCATCTTGATCTCTCTCTTCTTCCCTGTCCATTCTATTTTCTCTTCCTTTTCTTTTGTTCTATCATTCCATACCATTCGGATTCCACATTCTTTATTTCCACAAGGCCAATTTCAGGCTTCATTTTAAGATCTCCTGTTCCAATTTCACAACATAATCAATGTAACCTGATGTATTTTTATTGGTACAGTCAAACCTGTCTATAGCGACCGCCCAAGGGAAACACAAAAAGTGGTCTTTGTAGACAGGTTTCTTTAGTAAACGTTTCAATGAGAAACCATTTTCAAGGGAAACCAAAAATGTGGTCTTTGTAGACAGGTGATCACTAAGGCAGGTTTGACGGTATTACCTACCTGTCAGCGTGTCACCATTCTTGGACCATACATATGACACGCTCCTAGGATTGGCATCCACCACACAGCGACAGATGGTGGTCGTTTCTTCTCTGATCTCAGCTGGTATCGTCTCCACGGCAACGACCGGCGCATCTGTGCAACGTAAAACAAAAATATAAATAATATAGATATCTGTGAAGTGTGAAGCCAACCGCACACTATACAATCGTCCTGTGATCTGATTGTCAAAGAAATGGAAACTGCGTTAGATAGGAAATCTAAACAAACACTTTCTTCCTGATTTTGATAAGAGTACTAAGAAACAGAAGTTTAAAGCATCTAACAAGTCAAGTCAAAATAAAAGTTGAATGAGATTCAAATTGTAGACAATCGCACTACTTGTGTGACGTCACTGCCATTCTGAGCCGATTTAGCTTAATTTAGCTTTAAATTCTGATTTTCATAATCATATGACTACTAGTACTTAGATCCTCGATCAATACGATTTTTAATTTATTTGAATGTTCGTATCAAATGAAACTGCAAACTCTAAGCCCTTCTACTCTACTCATGTATTTGGATTTTTTTTGGGGGGGGCCGGGGGCCCTAATTCTGAAGTTATTGAGCTAAACCACAAAATGTGGGATGATTTCTCGAAAGCAAAATGGAAAAGTATTGTATGCTTATGATATTATAAACATCAAAACATGAAAACATAACTAATTTGACAGGGGCAAAAAAATCAAAGATTAAAAAGCTCAAAAGTGTTGTCAATTAAAGGATCTTAAAGCATCTTAAAGCTTAATTCATTTTTTGAAATTTAAATTCCTGGTATCATCAAACACAGTATGGTCATGCCACAAAACATGGACACAGGAGTATGCAGAAATTTCTTTCTACTTATACATCTGGAAATTTGTTTGGGCCCTAAATCAGAAGTTATTGAGCCTTTCTCGAAAGCGAAATGGGGAAGTATATTCTTCTTATGTGATAATGAACAATAACTGATGAGGTTTACCCACTGAAATAGATGTGAATGCGCTTTTCAGAGGCTTGATGAAGATCTCATCTGGTATTACTGGACTACACCCTGCAAAGTTCATTGACCTTTGACCCCCCAGCCCCACCTAATGAGCCCAACAGTGGATTCTTGTTAAGTGAGTCATGAAAATGACCTTCACAGATGCAGTTCAGTGTGAGCTGGCAAGCAAGCAATCAACAGGCTGCTACAGGTGGAAGAGTGTTACATGTTTACATGTATGAAGACTTCAGACACATACAGCAAATTTATATGAAACTTATTTTTCAGAGAAATGTCGTAAAAAGAACATTGTTTGTTACAGAAAACAACATCATATGAAGAAATGTTGTATAAGGAAACTTATTTTGAAGAGGTCAACAGCTCATAAAACGTTCAGATTAGAGACCTTGTACAAATACACCCAACTTTCTAATATAATGGAAGGTGTGGAAGTAGAAACACCGCAGAAACAGATTGGTGAAAGTCTGAACAAAACCAAAAACATAAAGAAAGTTATATATGGTTGAAAGTTGAGACCCCTAAACATACATGTATATGTATATGAGTCTAAAATTGATAAATTGGTTAAAGGTAAAGACCAGTAATGGTCATGCGATTGCATTGAGAAAGAAACGTTGTGGAATCGATCAGAAAAGGTTGATAATCTAGCATCTAGCATCTGCGAGGTTCTGGAATCATCAAAATGATAAGAAATTTGGCCCATTCTTTGTAAAGTTACAAGCACTATACACAGAAAGATGTATATGGGACTACCCTATATCTCTGACAGACCATGAGAGAAACAAATTTACCAAATATATGAATTAGTAGGCGGTTTCCCGGCAAATTTTTTATCACCATGTATTAGTCAAAACATATTCTTTCACATGATTGGTAATGAGAGCTTCCATTTCATTTTTTGAAATTGGGGCGTTTCCAATACTGGTCTTTACCTTTAATTGCCGGTAAGGTATTTGAGGAGCAGTGTCCCACTCAGGTAGCTGATGATAATTTCATTTACTTTAAAGTGTGAACATGCAGCTACTAAATATAAATATCCATGTACAGTCAAACCTGCTTTAGTGACCACCTGTCTACAAAGACCACCTGTCTACAACAAGCACATTTTTGTTTCCCTTGAAAATGGTTTCTCATTGAAACATGTACTAAAGGAACCTGTCTACAAAGACTACTTTTTGTGTTTCCCTTGGGCTGTCGCTATAGACAGGTTTGACTGTACATGTACATGTACTGGTCCTAAACTGTTAACAAGAATAATGTTACTTAGAATAGAAAACAAGCTTCCACTTACGTTGCACATCAAAGGTCAAGCCAGCTACGATAGGCTCTGTAACAGCAGCATTGGATGCCCGGCACTCGTACACCAGCCCGTGATCATTCAGTTCAGGTGTGATCCCCAGGACACTCACAGCATCCCACAGCTTTCCAGAGACATCATTGGCGGCTCGTCCCGAACTGTATATGGCGCCCTCTAGAGGTGCATTGTCACGGAACCATGCGATGGTGGCAGCAGGGTTGGCACCGTTGGCGTTGCAGGTGAGGTTGACCGCCTCAGAGACTTTGACGGACATCGTTGGACTGCCATCTAGGGATACTGAGCCTGGTGGTCCTACAACCAAGGAGAAAAGGAGAAGATCATGAAGAATTTGAAGGACACTCTGGCCTAGTACAGAATGCAGGGATGCCTGTTATAATTAGTCTGAGGGCCTGAAAATCACCTAGAATGAGCTATTTTGTACACAAAAAAGCTGAAATGATGGCCTGAAAATAAATCACCAGGGCCTACATGTAAATCTGGCATCCCTGATAATGGTTGTTTTCAATAGAGCATACAAAGCAGAGAAATAGATAAACATCATATCTTCGGTACTACCTTTGGTGGAAGAAGCACATAAAACATTGTGAGGAAAAGTGGACAACAATTAGAGAAGTTATGATGCGACATCGTTGGAGTGCCATCTAGGGATTTATAAGTGCTATAAACATGGTACTATTTCTCGCCCTGACAGGAAGATGACACTTTCTAGAGGCACAGCTCAAAATAGCTCAAAATAGTTCCCTTTCCATTCAAGCCCCAATGTACTAGTTTGGCCAGGAGGGATTAGACCTCCCTGCATGGTCACTGACAGGTGGTTATCTCATCAAATCAGCTCTCGATTAACAAAAGAAAAGGGGGATCATGGGGGACCAATGGTCACCGATTAGGCATTGTTTGCTATAAAGAGGTCGCAAGTAGCTATAAGCAGTGCAGTGGGGGTTTAAGCAAGAACCTAATACCCAATACCTGTCTGACTTACTCTGGACGGTGAGTTTCGCCGTGTGGGAATTGAGTCCCGCATCCATCGCGCTGGGAGTCACCTGACATTGGTAGAGCCCGTCGTCTGCTAACGCTACACCCGTGATCTTCAGGTTATACTCCCCGGCAGACGCGTCTCCCTCGATGGCATACCGCGAGAGGCCTGGAATCGTGACATCCTTGTCAGAGCCGATGTGCTCGCCGTCTTTTATCCAGAACAGCTGGCCAGACTTCTCTGCTACCACGCACTGGAGGGTCACAGCCCCAGCACCGAAGTTGACGGCGGTATCTGCAGGCTCTTGCGTTAGACTTTGGGTAGCATTGGCTGAATATTGATGAAGGCGATAAACAGAAAAGGAAGATAATTAAAAAAATGAACTGAAAGAAAGAAGGCATTGATCCACTGCAATACAAGTTATATCTCTACCGTTGATATCCTGCAAGTATTATCAAAAACAACAAAATCCAAAACAAAACACCCCACCACCAACAACAACAACAACAGAAAACCACTAAAAACAACAAAACAAATGCAAAATTTAAGAGATTTTGTAAGATTATTTTCATAATTTTCTTCTCTCAGTCTCTGCATACATGTATAAAGACTTTGATTTTGGGCACCCATGTGTCCAGGGCGCCTGTTAGTGAAGAGCTCTCATTTAGGTTTAGACCACCTCCACAAATTTGGGTCAAAGGGTCTATGGACACATAAATATAAGAAGAGCTAATTTCTAACTAGAAAAAGATGTTTAATCCACAGCCTACATTACATGTATAAATTCAAATGTGTACCATAAATTGGAATTTGAATTTGAAGTGAGCAAAGTAGTTTCATTACGGGTGGGGTAAAAACACCTGAATCTGAAGACTAGTTAGCCTAGTACTGGAGAAGCTGTTACACTTCATCACAGAGTTGTTTATATTTCAAACCTGTCTTGTTTGTGGCAAAGTATGGCTAGAGGCAAGAGAAACAAGGTCAAATTCCAAAATGAGTCTTCAATCTTTGCTAAAATCCAACATCATAAATGAAAGAGCCCCTCCCCTCACACCACTCATTTATGGTGTTACTTTCCAAAATTCTGCCACTTACAAGTTACATGGATGTATACTAATTACTATTTTTTTTTTAAATGTAGCTATGAATTATTAGATTCATGAAAGATTTGTTTAAATCTCTTACTTTATTTATTTAAAACAACAAGAGAAAGCATGTAAAAAAGAACTGTGAAGTCTAGGCTACTGCCTGAAAACTGAATTCACAGGACAGAACAAGGCTGAAAAATAATGCACATAATTATACTTCTACAGAAAAAGAAGAAGAAATATGCAACGGAAATAATGAAACAAGAGATGAAAATAAACAATATGCAAAATATAAAAATTGATGATTTGTGTTGTATAAAGTAATCATATAGACTTATCAGTACATTTGGTATATACTAACACAGGTATATAGTTTATATTTCCCATAAAATATATATGGTAAAATATGTTTCACTTTTGAAAATACATGTTTTATAGTCAGACAAAAAGGTAACGGGGCATTGTGAATCTTCAAGCAATGTGTATCACACTTCCTCAAACACACAACAACAAAAAACGCCTCAGGTTTGCCGCTTCATATCTAAAAAGTAAAATGAGGCTACATTGGTGTTCTTCACATTGTTGCTTTGAAAAAACGATCCCTGTCTTCATCCATTGAAACCACCACCAGTCTCTGATGTCACATCAAGTAGTGTTTGATGCAGTCAATGTCAATGTTTATCACTCATGAAGCAAGCCCCAGCAGGACTATTACTGTCCCGCAGAGAGACCACTGTAACCACTCTCTCTAGGTCTGTTCTCATCAGCCCGAGATTGCCAAATAACCCACAATTTCTGATTTGAGAAATGAGCCCAAAGTTACATATCACGCTTTCATAAGCCTGAGACTCGACCTCGAAACTCAAAACTCGAGCTTGAGATATTTTGCTCAGAGTTCCTGCATAGTTCGAGTCTTCGGGCTGGTCAAGACACACTGGACAAATAGTGGGATATTTTGGAAAATAGGAGGACATTTTGCAAACTAGCCCAAGATATCTTTGGATGATTATCTCAATCAAATATCCCGCTAATTGCAACTGCGGGCTGATGAGGATGCAAATTAGCTAGATAATTTGCGATCAGGATAGTTAAAATGGCGGGTTATTTGGCAATCTTGTGCTGATGAAAACAGGCCTATTGATTCCCAGAATACTCTGCAGGCACAATCCCTTATTCGTTGATGCGCATAACAGTGCCTGCACTGTGAGACTAGGCTGACAGCATACTACATGGGCTCCATACTTTAGCTTCTTTGGACACAACCAGAGACCGACATATCTAGGCTCTGTTCAAGGCTCTAGGAATTGCAATAAAGTGTCAAATTAGAGTCTGTGTCTATAGACTACTCCTGGTCTGATCTAAGCTATGGGTAGGCTCCTTATACAGGCTCTATAATACATAGACGACTGGTGTCATGAACATTGTTGCTTTGAAAAATGATACCAATCTTTATCTATTGAAACCCAGCAGTGTTTGGTGCGATCAATGTCAATGTATATCACTCATAAATCAAATCTCAGCAGGACAATATGACCCGTGGAGAGACCACTCTCTGATGATCCGACCTAAGCAATAAGTAGTCTCTTAATACAGGCACTACAATACATGAACTATGTTTATGTGGGACTCTAGACAACATTGAAGTTATAAACATGACAATGCTTCCCAAGGGCCCGAAATAACAAGTATTCAAAGTTTTAAACTAAAAGCCTGGTTAACTTCAAAATTACAATTTAGTAAAGGCATGCACATGGCATCTAACTTCATGTGAGGATGCCTTCCGTTGCTCTTTAGTTATCAATATCATGCCAACCATAAAATCACTCATTCATTAGGCCTGTCCTCATCAACTCAAGTTTGCCAAATAACCCGCTATTTTAATTATCCCGATCGCAAATTATCCAGTTAATTTGCGACTTCATCAGCCTGCAGTTGCAATTAGCGGGATATTTGGTCGAGACAATATTCCCAAGATATCTTGGGCTAGTTTGCAAAATATCCTGCTATTTGTCCAGTGCGTCCTCACCAGCCCGAAAGCTCATACTATTACTATGCGCGAACGCTGAGCAAGATGTCTCGAGCTAATTTCTTGAGCACGAGTTTTGAGTTTCAAGGTCGAGTCTTCAGCTGATGAAGACGCGATTTGTAACTTCTGGCTTATTTCCCAAATCAGAAATAGCGGGCTATTTGGCAATCTCGAGCAGATGAAGACATACCTTTTGTTTGTAAGTAACCATGTGTGCATCCGCATTGTCCTTTACTTCGAGATTCTACTACTTTGAAATCAGGGGTGATAGTGAGCACTAAAAAAAAAAAATGTTTTTTTTGTTCTCTCTTCAATTACGCCCCCTTGAGTAAAAAAGAAAGAAGAGGATTCGCGGGGGGAAATGGCATCTAGCAACATTCGAGTAAGAAAATTTGGGAAAAATTGGAAAAATTGGGGAAAAAATAGGGCAAAATAGGGAAGAATAGAGAAAATAAGGGGGAAATCAGGAAAATCACAATAAAATAGGGAATAAAAAATCTGGTAAAAAAAAATTGGGAAGAAGAAAAAATCAGGAAAAAATCGGGAAACCGATTTAAATCGGGTTTTTATCAGGCCTGTGAAATGTACAACCATGACTTGAAAATTAAAGTTAATAATGGACTGTCATATGAACATCACTACACTGGATTACATATGTTTGGAGATAAAAGGGCATTACAAGGAAATCCAACCCTGATAGCATAGCAAACTACTCTAGAGGAAAGCAGACAAATCAGAGAAGTAGATTGAAGTTTTCATGAGATAAGGCAAAAAATGAGAAAGTTACGAATCTTTGAAAGTTTTATGACTGTCCATGTGCTCTTCAAATTGGCTGAATATGTTCAATACTCAGGTGAATCATATTTCCTAACAGCAAAAAAATACACAGGGGCCGTGAGCTATGTACATGTAGCTCTCTAAAGCTCCAAAAGAGCTCTAATACACTGGAGAAAAACTCTGGTAAAAAACAGCAAGAACATTAATCTGATAAAATTGCATCCCAATAAAACCCTGAATCCCAAAAAGAGCAAAATAGAAGGTAGCTTAAATTATACACTGTTTCCTACTACGGTCAGGGCTTAAATTAATCCAAGGCCACCAAGGCCATGGCCTCAATGCCCCTCTCATTGGCCTTGGAGATATTTTGTGCCCTTTCCAATTATTCTTATTTGTGCTGTAATATAGGAATGTGCCCTTCAGAAAAGTGGCCTTGCCCTAAAAATATTGAAATTAAAGGCCTGTACTGTACATGTACTAAAATAATCTTCTACCACTATCAGTCTTCAAGATTACAGTGAATTCCATGGAAACATGCCAAAATATGGTTTACTGTGAGTGTGGGCATATATGGCAGACTTGGCAAGAAGTTTCATAAATTGTATAGAAACAAACTTCTGGGTTCACGACATCTAGTTAGAGTATAATGAAGGAAAAAATATAACAGAATATCAGAATATTAGATGACTTCAGCCTGGATTATTCTACGATTGTAAGATTAGAATTCTTAGGTTTGCATTTGTGAAAATCATATATTTTATAATCTAAACTTTCATTTTGTTCACTTTTCTTAAACTTGGTTAAAGTACCTTGAAGGTATTTTTCTCCTTACCCTTTAAATTTACCAATTTTAAATGATGTAGATGTAAGTATTATCAAGGCCATGGCAAGATACCTAAGTATATATTTTCAATTCTTTTGTAACCGGTAATACAAATATTTCTTGAAAAAGGCCCTGCATTTTGGCATGGACCATGATTTTGGCAAAGACTGTTCACTTAATCTAACTTCAATATCTCCTGTGCATGCACCTTGCAAGGATTTCTTGGCCTAGCAATATTTCATCCTATTGTTACTATGACTACCAGGGCAAGAGGTTGGTAGATTAGAGACAGGTATCCAAGGTCAAAGGTCAAAGAGTGCTCAGTGAAGGAGCTTGTCATCACAATCCTTGCTCCTTAATAGTCTTAATACTCAGACCATTTCTACAAAAAAAATGCAAGATTGTTGGTGACGAACATATTTTTTGACCACATATATACAAAAGTACACCATGTCTAGACACAAAACAAACTACAATTTTGGCCTTTAATAAGCAACAAAGTTTATTTACGTCTGCACATAAAATTTCTTTAACTTTGACTCGGATCTTGTTTTCAATTTAAGCAAATGAGACTGTGTAACTATAGACTAATTATCTCCAAAGGTATGTGTCCTATCGATTTATGAGAGAGTTGTGTGAATAACTGCATGTTGTATTTGATGGATGTAGTTTGCTATGAAGACATACAGTTGTAGGTTCAAATCTTTGGTTCAAATATAGGTGAAATTGATCAGTGACACTTTAGTTTTAAGAAACCCCCCCCCCCCCAAACGAGTTTTACTTTTTTTAGCAAAAGAAGCATGAATTTCTATTTTCTCTATTGAAATGTTTATTACAGGCCATTAGGCCAACACTGTATTATTATTAGACGTTGTTGTACGCAATCCCTGTAATATGCAATTCATTTGTCAAGAACCAAAGAGAGGGATTTATAACCTGCCCCTCTCTCTCTCTCTTTATCTCTCTCCTTCCCTGTCCCTCCCCCTGTCCGCCTCTCTCACTTTCTCTCCTCCCCTCCCTCATTTACAGTAGTCATAGCAACTCTCAGTGAAGAACAAAGTGTTATCCACTTCAAATATAGAGCAATGGCAATTTTTATTAGCAATCAGCAGGCATGACAGATTTTCTTACGTTTGAATCACATTACAACAGCTCATGCACTAATGCCGAATGAAATGCCTCCAATCAAAACCAAGAATTTAGATTTGTCTACAAAAATGTTTAGGTACAAAAAGGTTGATGATTGTAGCTAAAATGGACTCACAACAAGTTATTAATCTTTCATAACTTAATCCCTGCATTTTCTGAGCAAATTTACCAGTGGATATAACTTTGGGAGACATTTCTACCAGTTTTCTGAGGTGATCCCTAAATTGCCTTAGGGTCCATGTCAAACACTTGCTGTTACTGGTTTACATTTGTGGTTAGCCCCATGCTGTTTCAAATTTAAAGTGATTTAGAAATCAATGGGTTTCTTGTTGCATTGGCAAAATATTCCTTCAGGACAGATTACAAGTTGCATGAAAACACTGTTTCAATACTCAAAATGACAGGTCAAATGTAGGATATTCTCAAAATGGATAAGACTTGAGGAAAACAATCAGATTGAAACTGTCTACTGTCAATGCTCTTTTTTAAATGGGAAGTTCATCCTGATATCAAATAGAAGCAGAATAATGAGATGGAACAGGCCCGGTGGGGTCACTCAATGTGACTTCCGGACCGCATGACCGTTACCACAAATGCATATAACCCCCTTTTGCGGTCAATTTCAAGGACATTTTGTAAAATTTTACCCCCTTTTTTACGTCAAAACAAGGACAAAATCCAATAAAATGTAGGAAAGTTGTGAATTATTAGGTTTTTATCAGTGAAACACACAAATTGACAACACTGTGACATATCTTGCGAGGTCCTCTTCATTTTGCTCTGGACAGGACATTTCATAAACTTCTTAAAATAATATTGATGACAGAATACATTTGTTTCATAATCATATAGGGGTTGTGTACAAATGATTTTCAAAAATTATGTTTAGGGTGTATGTACACATACAGTGTATGCATGATTGAAGAAAAAAAAATTAGAGAAATTTTTAGAGAAAACAGAAATTTCTGAATACTTTTACTTTTTTAGTACAGAACACATGGGAGGGGACCTCGCAAGACACGTCACAGGGCTACCAATTTAATTTTATTTACCTACATGAACAAACGAGAGGCAAACATATGTTTGCCAAACTGTTCATGCCATTCTACAGTACATGATCCATGTACATCCTCCTCCTCCTCCTCCTCCTCCTCCTCCTCCTCCTCCTCCTCCTCCTCCTCCTCCTCCTTCCTTCTTCCTTCTTCCTTCTTCCTTCTTCCTCTTCTTCTTCTTCTGTGAATAAGGTCCTCCACCTCATGTCCCCTCCTTCTTCTCCTCCTCCCCTTCCTCCCTTTTCTTCTCCCTTATTCTTCTTCCTTTCCTTTTCCTTTTTTTTTTCTTGTTCTTCTTTTTTCTCCTCCCTCTTCTTCTCCTCGACCTCTTCTTCTTGAAGAAAGATATTCTAATTTGTGGCAAGCAAAATCAAACAAATTTCTAAATGTTATTCCCCTGAATCGACATTTGTGGGAATTTTCTGCGTCTATTGAAAGTAGGTTATTTTTGGAGTGGACTTGCCCTTTAAAGTTTAAATTAACTTTCTGGACACAGAACATCTGGGTACACATGATTGCTAAAACAATGACAAAGTAGACCTACAATTTACATACCGATACCGGTAGGCCTACATGTAGAGTCTACATCAAGAATGAAGAATCGATTGTGATTTCTTTCAATAAATGTATGGACTAGATCTATGGTCTATGGGTATATTATAACTCCACATAAATATAATGATGCCTTCGTTCGGATGTTGCCAAGATCAAACAAAGCAAAGAAACAGAAACAGAAACAAAGCAACAAACATGCAAAGACTTTTAACCATTGTTTCATTGCAATTTGCATGCATACAAAATTACAAATACAATTCCATGCTCACAAAACTACACAAGTTGAATCCAATATTATTAGTGAATCAATCAATTTACCATACTCTAGATGTACGCAGGATGATAAAAGAAGACAAATCAGTACACAACAGTTCACCGGAATTTCAGGGAATAACATGGTTGCCTGATCCAGGAAAGAAAGGCTAGGCCGAGATGCAGATGAAGTGTTCTTGATCTCTCGTGGAATTTCACTCTCCTCACCTGGGCCGAGACTCGGCTTCAATCTCCAAATCCAATTTTATTTAACACTTTGCGAAAGCGAAAAATCTGGTTATTGGAACCAGCAAAGAAGTAGAATAGAATCACACGATTATGCGCATTATGCAGGTTCCAAATTTGTTGTTTTTATGTTTTTATAAACGTAGGAATATCAAATATTTTGATTTAGAAAACACCTTCCCAGTCCTTGCTCGCATCACATAAAGTTTAGTCACGCACGCATCTCTTGCCTTGTAATTGCGCCGAGCCTAGCCGGGTACGAAAGCTACATGCCACCAAGTCCACACGATACAAGTGAGATTGTGTATGGATGAGGGATGAGGCGGACCCCGATCTTCAAGTGAAACTTTTCGGTGACGCTATTTTGATTGACAGGCGAGAAACGGGTGGCGTTACCCCAATTTCATTGCATGTAGTTCTTGCGACCAATTTTGTGCAGTGAAATTTCTTTACAAAGATAGTAAAAAAAAAAGTTACTAGTTAAGTCTAAAGGAGAAAAAATATGATTTGGAAGACTTTTTATAAAGAAAACTGCATTTATTGATGTCAAGACTTTCTCAATCAAGAAATGTTATCAAGTGAAGATAATTTGACTTATGGGAGTTTCATTTATAGTTCTAGTCGATTGAGGTACTAAGTAAGCCCATGATATAGGGACCGTCTCGATCTCCGACATTGCATTTATATATTTAGACTAGCACGGCGATCAACAAGCGCAAGGAACACAATTTGTCTGCAGTTGTCATTTCAGTCAAGCTAGGAGTAGGACTAATTCTAAAGATTTGCTGATATCTAGGTGAGTCGTCGTTATCTATAAATTGTAGTGTACGTGTATGATATTTATAATTGTTTACAAGTTATCAATGAGTCAATGAGAAGAGGAAAGTGAAGAGGGGAGGTGGAAAGAAAGAGAGACCGAGATCGAGAGAATGGCACGTAGGACTCAGGAGAAGCGCAGCTCGGTGTGATCTTCATTTTTTATTTTTTTTATGTGCTTCCGCGATTTTTCTATAATTATTGCCTCACGTTTCGTAGTAAGAAAATAGTTTGCTTAGTTGTAGGCACTAGAGTAGACAAGGTAAACTAAACAATACTAGAGCCTAGAAATACTTAATTAAAAGTTTAGTCTTTATTAGGTCTAATTATGTTGAAAAGCAGTAGCCTAGGCCTAGACCTAGAGGCAGTTCTGTTGAAAATAATTTGGTAAGACTGACCAGAGACCAGAGTTTGTTGTCATAATCATGGCAGTCATTTTTGTTGAAATTGAAAAGAGTGAGAGTTCTCGATCTAAAATGTCTAGATTCATTAAGATGTACTAGCCTATATAACTGAGTATAAGTAGACCTCTATAAGAACAATTCACCTGCAAGTACATCATCTAGATCTAGGGTCTACATGTACCTCATAAAATCACGCATGGAGCTGGAGGAAGTTGTTAACAATTGATTATTTCCTTGATTGCAGGCATTGAGCCAGGGCTGCAACTGCTAACTATTAAAAGTAATACATTTCTGATGTTCTGCTTCCCTATAACAGTAATACAATTCTGATGTTCTGCTTCCCTATAACATGGCTAGATAGTAGATACCAATCGATGTACTAAAATGGAATTGTTGTGTGTGTACTGACTACTGACAAGGCTTTGATTTTGACAAGTGGCAGAATAGAACTAGAAGAATGGTTAAAAGATCAACTGTGCATCTGGCAAGCAATCTGACAAATGAAAGAAAGATTTAGAGAGCGGTCTACCAACATCATCAAGTTATTTGATTTGATTTGATTTGATTTATTTACCAACAGCAATACATTCCATACATTTTTATACAATAATTACATAGAACTACAGAAAGAGAAACTATTGGTTGGTAAAAGGGGCCAGATAATAGCACATGTGCTAGTCGAGCCTAACCCCTTAAACAGCTAAACAAAGCATTTTGGTACAAAGCGGAACGTAACAAAACAAAAAATAATTAATTTACTGTTACAATCGATACTTAGAAAAAACAATGCTGCACCTGCAGTCCTGGCCATTTGGTCAAAGTTTGGTATTGTACTTTTTTGTAGTATATTCTACTCATCTACTAGACTATTTTTTTGTAAATAAATGTTTTAACAAAGAAGAAGTAGGCCTACTGTTGTGAAAGTTAAGCTAATCCGTGCAGGATTTCAGAGCAGTTCCTTTGAGTTTCATTGTGAGGATAGTAATTGATAGCTTCCCATCGTTGAAAAGAATCACCCAACTGTGTAAGCTGTTTCAAGATCATTACCTAAACTTGTTGCAAAGCTGACAAAGGCCTGAATAAGATCAGTTACATTGTACATACAACAATAAGGATCAATTATCCCAGCTGTTGACAACCATCAAGGGGTTTTGTGTGTTTGTTAGCCAAGATTTGATTGTAAGTAAACTTGTAAAGAATGGTGGCATGAAAGTACAATCACACAAGTCAACAATGGATAGATCAGTTACTGATAAACTAATAAACTAATGTTTACTAACATGTATTCTATGCCCACTTTTTGAACAAAGGTTGTTCTTGACAACCTAAAAGCTTGACTGAGGATTGCCTGACATAGCAGCAAATAGTGTAAATGTGTGCAGACTGGATTCTGAGTATTGTTGTTCATTTGATTAATAACTGGTTAATAGAATAACTCTGGCAGGAAACATTCATAAATCTGAATTTTAGTAAATCGGCCTATTGGGGTTGGGGAGATGGGTAATATTAAACAAATTGCTTATATTGTAGAGGGGGGGGGGGTGGAATGCTGTAGAATGATGAAAGTAAGAGATTGTAAACACACAAAATTTGATATATTTGATTTATATGTTTGATTGATCACAACTTCAAACTTCATACCTTATTTCTAATCAGATTTTGCTGAAATTTTCACTACACTGTTCCTCTCATTTTCGTTCTGCTTCTATTAAAAATAACTTGATATCAGGGTGGACCCCGCCCCCCCCCCCCCCCCCCACTCCGGGGTCAGAATGACCCCATGCATGTTACCAAAATGTCCGGTGAAGGGGTACTTTTCGTGCGACAAAGTCCGGCCTGAGAATTGTAAAAAAAAGGGGTGTATTAACTTTTCACCCGGAGATTTCTTTAAAAAGGGGGTGCTTTTATTTTTTTCTCTCGTCTCTTTGGAGTTTGGACTCCTGAGAAATTATTCCGATTTTAGGGGGGTACATTGAGCATTTTTCATGATTTAGGGGGGTCTCCAAGGCAGGAAAAGCCCGCCAAAAGCCTGCGAAAGGGGGGGGGTCCGGAAATGTTGGCAGTCCTCAGATAGGGGGTGCTTTCAAAAAGAGGGAACGAGCATATATGCGTACCCTAAATAACACTGAGTGGGGGGGGGGGGGGCCGAGGTGGACTCCTTCTTCAAAACCCTATTTAGATGCCTTCAGTAAGTTCAGTACACAAGTCCCAAAATGTGCCCTTCTAAAGGAAGTGATAACATTTTTTGTTTGCTTGCCACCATTGCTAGAGAACTTTAGACTAAAAAGGCATCGCTTAAATTCAGATAGTCTCCTTTTTTTCTTCCTTTTCTTTTTTTCTTTCCTTTTCTTTTTTCCTTGCTTGTCATGAAATTGGGGGAATATTGGAATTTTGTGCCCCTTCTTTTCCAAAATTTGAAATCTGTGTCACTGGACAAGCCAATAAGATAAGGGTGTGCTCGTGTAGACTAGACATCTCCTGCTGGTTCTTCAAGTGGTCTAAGGTCAAAGGTTGTATTACCATACTGGTCATACTGTGAAGTTACCAAAAATTAATACAGGTGGATGAACTGGATTTGGGAGATTCAGTACCCCAGAAAATCTCTCTTTCCCTTCTGAAAGGCCATTCATACTAGAAGAAACTTTCCCAAAAATTGTATTAATTTTAAGGATTGTCATAATAATAAAGAACCATTGTAAAGCGAAGGGGATGTTCACAGATCATGTTAAAGGTAATGTTAACGATAGTGCTGGTGTTGATGATGATGAGGAGGAGGCAGATGTTGATGGTGATAATGATGACATCAACAAAGGTTATGATGATGATGATGAGGATGACATCGTCTGACCCTGAAAGAAAGTAGTTTTGGGGAGGACATCACCTTGCACTGTATGTTTAAAGTGTGCCCATGTCATGGGCACTGCTCAAGCTTTACCAAAATACAGCTTGCCTGTCACATTGGCGGTGGCGCTACAGATTATAATCTGTTAAAAAAAACCTCCAGAGATAGGTTTTTAATCTATATATTTCATCATGTTTATACGTAGTTGCCTAGCAACTTCCGTTAAAACTCAGGAATGTGAGAAAAACTCATGGTTTTCGCTAGCAGTGTAAATGCTGCTTACATGTATTGCAGCCTTTTCACACACAGCTAAAATTCATTGTATCTAGAGATGATTAGAATCACTCAACAGTTTTAAACATGTTTATAGACAAAATTTCCCGGTGTGAACATCGTTTATACGATGTTGGGATAGATACGAAGTCGCGATGCATACGCCCCTAAAAGCAGGCTGCAGATATGAAGTTCGTATCTAGTGAGCTTGACATTTTGTGTGTGAAAGGTTATTCGTGTTTAAACGTGTTTCAGACGTGTTTAAACTGGATGGAGCATGCGCTTTGATTGATGTGACATGACCTTCAATGCGCAATGGCACTACTGCGCATTTTACGAGCAGTAGTTAATCACGAAACGATTAACGATCGCACCGAAATTTCTGTGTGTGAAAGGCTCGTGATTAGTTTAAACACGTTCGAAACACGTTTTATACTAGTCATGTTTATAGAATTTTAGCTGTGTGTGAAAAGGCTGCTGGATGTACATGTGTGTTACTATTGTAATGGTGGGACCTTTTTTACACTATCTTCTTGATCACTGTGCATCTCATTACATTAGCTCATACAGTTGTGACAACAGCCTCTGTTGATTGATAGCTGTAACCTAAACATGTGGGGAAACTCAACCTTGCAGAGTTTATACCAATCACATCACACTTGCCTGAACTCTCCCATAAACACTGCACCCCCATTCATAAACAGGAGCTTAAAGGGGGATATCAGATGTTATGTCTTGATAAAAAGGTTACTTTCTTCAAAGAGATAGCAAGGAGTTACTACACTAGGAGTGCACACTGTGCCCTTAGGGCTTTTCTTATCACTCAGAGCGGGATTATGAGGGATTAGGGGTCCAACGAAAAACAAAATGACCTCTGACGCAACGAGGTCACCCTGGTCTCGATCTCCGGACTTTTATGTCCCATGCGCGATGCCGCACTGAACTGGCCCTCTCTAGGAGGAAACATCGACAGTCCAGTCTTGATATATAGGTGGTTTATATAGACTAGCTCTATACACATGTCTATAGCTTCATCACATGCGACACACACTCTGATGTCGTGATAGTCTAAGAATTCAGCTCTCGATAGGTACAAAGATCTCGAAAATCGGCCAACGACAAGGTGAGTTTTTACCTGATTATTGTTGAAAAATGTCCTTATTTTGTTCTATTTATATTCATATTTCAATGTAATATTAGTTGTAGACTCAGACTACCCCAGATGAAAATCATTTTTTTGGCAGACAAATGAGATTTCCTTCTTTATTTTGATGTATGACTCCACCGTTCTTGGCCGTTCTTGTTATTGTGATGACCTATTGGAAACATGTTAACATCTGCTGTGTCACTATTTTTCTATTGTCCCACTAATATATATCGGTGTGTGGTTTCAGTTCACCTGGCGGTATTATTGTGCGTGTTGGACGAGTTGAGGAACTATAGCTGCTAGCTGGGCCGGGC